CTCACATAAATAAATGAAGAACAGCTCAAGAGTTGTCTCAAGGCACTTCTCAATGCAAACATTCAAATACAGGTCAGTTGATTAAGCCAATCAGTAAAAAGGTTCCTATATAAGGAACTCTGCAGATTGCATCAAGTCACTGACTAGTGTCAGTGACTTCACAGCAATCCTCATGCTAAGCAAGCATGTAGCGACTGTGGAGAGGAAAACTCCCTTTTAACAGGTAGAAACCTCCAGAAGATCCTGGCTCAGTATAAGCAGCCATCCTCCACGACTCACTGGGGATCGAGAAGACATACACACACACACACACACACACACACACACACACACACACACACACACACACACACACACACACACACACACACACACACACACACACACACACACACACACACACACACACACACACACACACACACACACACACACACACACACAGGAGGCAGTTTTATATTAGAGCTTGAGCTTGAGGGGGCAGCAGTAGCTCAACAGGTTGAGTGGGTTGTCTAGTAATCGGAAGGTTGCAGGTTCAATCCCAGCTCCGGACAGAGAATTCTGCTGTTGTGTCTTTGGGCAAGACACTTAACCCACCTTGCCTGCTGGTGGTGGTCGGCGGGACCAGTGCCGAGCCTGTGCTCGGCAGCCTCGCCTCTGTCAGTGCGCCCCAAGGCAGCCGTGGCTACACCGTAGCTCACACCTGTGTGTGTAAATGGATGAATGATACACTGTAGTGTAAAGCGCTTTGGAGTCTTTACTCTGAGAGGCACTATACAAGTGCGGGTCATTTATCATTTGTCATCTGAGTCAGGGAATGTCTTCTCAAACCCCCCAGTGACTCACGAGGATGGCTGGTCATACTAAAGCCAGGTCGTGTTGGAGGTTTCTTCCTGTATGAGGGGAGTTTTCCTCTTGCTGTAAAGTCTCTGACACAACAAGTCAGTGACTCAGTGTAATCAGCTGGGTTTCCATATGAAGGAAACTTGACTAATTGGCATAATAAACTGAATTCAATGCACTGATAAGTAGGTTCAACTGGAGTGTTTACCTGTGAAGTGCCTTGAGATGACTCCTGTTGTGATTTGGCGCTATTTAAATAAACTGAATTGAACTGAATTAAAGCAGGAATGTACAGATTTATCACAACACTGCCCTTTGTAGTTAGAAAGTCCATCCATCCATCTTCTGAACCCGCTTTGTCCACGCAGGGTCATGGGGGGGGGGTGGGGGGTGGGGGGGGTGGGGGGGGTCTGGTGCCTATCTCCAGCAGTCAACGGGCAATCAGGCGGGGTACTGCCTGGACAGAGAGCCAGTCCATCGCAGGACAACACAGAGACACACAGGACAAACAATCACACACACACACCTAAGGACAATTTAGACAGAACAATTAACCTAACAGTCATGTTTTTGGACTGTGGGAGGAAGCTGGAGTACCCGGAGAGACCCCACGCATGCACAGGGAGAACATGCAAACTCCATGCAGAAAGATCCCAGGCTGGGAAGCAAACCCAGGACCTTCTTGCTGCAAGGCAACAGCTCTAACCACTGCGCCACTGCGCAGCCTAGTTAGAAAGTAATATTTTTATATAAAATGTACGCTGGCACAAAAAAAGAGCTGAAAAAAGATATTTTATATCTTGAAATGAATTAGATTAAATTCACTATAACAGGTCTGGTGAAAAATCTGGTTTGTCAGTTTCAAACATTCACACACTGATTGATCTCCTACAACAAGCTGGAAAGTTTTAATATTCTTTCTGTCTTCTCTTTTTTAGGGATCGGGAAGTTCATTGCCCTGGACTTTGCACGCCGCGGGGCGCGCGTTATCCTGGCGTGTCGAAGCGAGTCCCGGGGCAAGGCAGCGCTGGACGAAATCAAGCAGATGACAGGAAACCCCGATGTCCATCTACATCTGGTGGATCTGTCCTCTATGGACTCTGTCAGAGAATTTGCAAAGAGGATTGTGAAGGAAGAGAAGGTGCTCCACATCCTCGTAAACAATGCTGCAGTATCAGGTGACACAGCATGCCTAAAAACAGGCAGGGACTCAAAGCGGCAACTTTTATGTTCAGGTTTTGGTTATGTTCCTTCAAATAAAGAAAAACCCACAATAGTCACTCAAAATCTTCAATCTGACCACAAAATTACTGAAAACCAACAAATACAAATCAGAAACCCGTTGTGACAAAATTTACATGATAAACATTGTTTTATTATGGTTCTTGCACAGAAGTTACAGCAGTGATTACATTCTCATAAACCAGGGGTTCTTCCACATAAAGTGGAGCTGCTCACACTCAGCCTCAATGTATCTGAAGTCTAAATCACGTAATGATGAGAGAATCAATCATACTTCATGCCAGTAAAAATTTAAAATCAGAAACACTGTTGTTTATTAACCGAATAGTTCTGAATATTCATGATAAAGAAAAAGTCAAAATAACTGTACAATAACCTTTTCGTAATGCTGCAAAATCAACAAGAAACGTACATTTGCAGAGTTTTGGTTCTAAAACGAGTTGCAAAAAATCTGATAGGAAACGTGCAGACCTGGTGAGGAAGAAAACGTTTTCTGACATGTTTAGATGTTGAGATTTAAGACAGATGTGGTTGACTGAAAAATATTTTTTATGTTTTTTTTTTTGATAATCAGTCACTCTGAGTTATTCATGCAGGCTGAACATGAGAATAGTCTCCTACACCTATTTCCTGCATTAGCTTCTGATAGAAAATAGACGTTGAAACTCTACCTCACACATCTACACGTCACACTGACTTAACGTTCATGAACTCACCCATCTTGACTCACGACATGGAAATCTGTTGTTGGTTTAACATCTGGGAATCAGCAGCAGACATCTCAGCTAGTTGACGCTAACCTTTAGCATTAGCAACTCCACCACACAGCAGAGCTCCTCCAGTCTTGTGATATTTGTGGAGATAAAAATCCATGTTGCAAGTCAGTGGTAGAGTCGCGTTGCTGGTGATCAATCTGGGGTGAGATTTTCAAATATCAGGAAATAAGACTCAAAACCTGCCGTCTGTAGCTCATCTGTGATGTGGGCAACATTTAGGTCCAAGTATTGGTGCACTGGTGTATATTTTTTCCCCCTGAGAACGACTTACTAGAGTCCACAGCAATCAAATTCATTTTAAAAGTCACACCTTTTAAGTAAAAGCTGTCAGAAATATGTCAAATAAGGCATTTATAAAACATTGATTCAAAATAACAACAGTACATCTAACCCTACATCTAGGAGGGTGGGGTCTTGGGTTGAAGCTCTTTGGAGGGTCCAGGCTTGCCTGTCCCATGCAGTGAAGCAGCTCCGATACAAAATCCAACCCTAATGGTTGACAGTGTTCTTTTTTTGCTTTAATATTGCATCTGTGAACGTAGAGCTGTGCTCCCGTTTTGTCGCATTTGTCTAAATGATGTTCTCCTAGAAGCTTTGGGGCTCATCAGCGTGTGTTTTATTGTATTGCAGTGATGGGGAATTATGGCATTAACAAGTCATCTCCTTGCCATGTTTTTCTTCAACTCAGCAACTAAGCTAGGTGATTTCAATCAGTACAGTGAATGAATCTGGTTCAGTTGCTGAGCAGAACAAAATCATGGAGATGACTTGTTGATGCCACAGTTCCCACCTCTGCTGTATCGTTAGTTGGCTTTTATGGAAACCCTCTGCCTTGAAGCCCATTACAGTCCAAATGTGACAGATGATGCGATCAGAAAGTGATTTACCCTGACGCTGGACTCCATCTTTATTAGGACAGTTTCCTGGGCTTCTCTATACCACTCAGACCTGTTGTCTGAACAACCTTGGCCTACATCCAGAAGGATTTCCTACAGTCCCACTGACCGTATACATCTGGTTTTTATTAGGTGGCTTCAGTAATTGTCAGTTATTCATTTCGTAAGTTTCTGGTATTTCATTTACTCTTGTGGGTTTTTCCTTCTTTAACAAAAGGGTAAAACCATTTAATCAACATCTGATTGCGTTTTTAGAAACCAGAAACATCAACACTCCAATCTCACAAACACCAACTGTAAATAGTTCAACTTGTGGAGTGATGTGGGGACACCAACTGTGCCAAAAGAATGTTCTGCTCATCGAGTCCCATTTGTTGTTCACAAAAAAGACAACGAGATGTGGTTTCCTAACCCACAAATGAACATCTCACACTTGTTGTTTATACTTGACTCCCTGAAGTGGAACAAGTTCATTTTCTTTCATCGAAATGAGGAGGAAGGAAAGTTGTACTCATTTTCCCGACACAGGAAGTGTGTGAGGTTATTTAAGTTGAAGAAGACGATCTTTTATGTAGCACCTCTCAAGATAAAAATCACTAGGCGCTTCACAAAAAAAAAAGAAAAATTAAAGTATGAAAATATTTCTAAATTGAGTAGCTAGAGTTGAGCTGGGTCAAAGGTCACACCAAAATTCCTGACAGAGGGTTTGGTGTGAGAAGCAAGCTGACCAAGAGAGTCTCTGACTTTGGGAACCAGCTTGTCTGGGTCACGGATGAGGATCTCAGTCTTATCTTCATTCAGCTGTAGAAAGTTCAAACAATCTAATCAGTAGCAGTCAAACCTATAGTCGGTGCCAACAGTCATTAGGGCAAATGCCAATTAAACATAAACAGAGTAAGTAATGTTAGACAACACCGAGTTCCTTACAAGCCAGATTACAGCAGAGGTGAATGAGAGGTTAGTCTGTTTCATTTCTACAGCCTGATGGGAGAGGCTGCTGAGGAATGTGTTTCCATATTATTAACATAAAGCTACAAAAGGTTGGGCATTCAGGCGCATCACCATGACAGCCAAAGCTCAGTTTACTATTATCAAGGATGTCGCAAGCTTTTTCACAGACACAACAGCCTTGTCATTAAAAGGTTATACATTTTGTTCTCATGTGTTCTTATTGAGGATTAGGAAGGAGAACTCTCTCTCTATCTATCTCCAGTAGATAAGTAATGTTAGAAATAACACTGAGTTACTTAGAAGCCAGATTACAGCAGAGGTGAATCAGTAGTTTAAAGGTTGTGTTTCATTCATCAATCTACAGCCTAGGGCACCGCCCCCACCCCACCCGGCCTATACCCAACATTACTGTCACCCAGTAGCACGTTTTAGACATTTCATAACATCATCAATATTAAAAATCGCTTACTTATGTTGATACAAAAGCATTTACCTCCAGGTCAAAATAGTTTTATAACCTAATCACAAACACTCATACCTGATGACTTTCCTATTGTGCCTCACTCATATGTCATTCTTCCTCTGTCCTCTCTCTTTTCTCCTCTTTTTCTGTCTCTCTCTCTTCCTCACAGCGCTCCTGTCTTCTCTTCTGTCTGTAATAACAAAAATGTGGTCAATCTGTGGGACAGTGGGGGGCAAGTGAGTCTGCTGTAAAAGAGATCCCACTGTCACACTACAACAGAAAGTAACGCAGCATTGTTTAAAATATTATACAGTTATTGAAAAGTTTGCAAAGATAAAATATCTGCATGTTTTTGTTTGTCTCCTTCCTCTTCTTGTCTCCTGTTTCCTTCCTCCTCTTGTCTCCTGTCTCCTTCCTCCTCGTGTCTCCTGTCTCCTTCCTCCTCGTGTCTCCTGTCTCCTTCCTCCTCTTGACTCCTGTTTCCTTCCTCCTCTTGTCTCCTGTCTCCTTCCTCCTCGTGTCTCCTGTCTCATTCCTCCTCTTGTAGGTGTCCTTCAGAAAAACTGCTTTCTGGCCTTTCTATTAGTAAATTCATTTACAATGTCATCAAAGTCCAGATTCCTGACAAGCTGAGATTCAATAGCCATCAGTGACAGTGCACTGAGGCGCTGTTGAGTTTGTGTTGTTCTCAGTTCATTTTTTATTCTTGCCATTTGTGAAAATGGTCGTTCCCCTTCACAATTTGTAACTGGTAGAGTTAGAAAAATCCGCAGGGCCACAAACACATTAGGGAAGATCGACTGTAGACTATTTTTTTGTCCGAAAACAATCATGGTACTGCTTATATTAAATTATCTATGTGGACTCTCTGGGGATTGTTTTAAGCTGAGAGGCGCAGAGGTCTGATCGTTGATGCGCTCCAGTTAGCTGCATCCTGAGCACGGCCACAGTAACATTATCAAAGTGTCGCCTCCTCAAAAACAAATTTAACACGCGATCGTTCATGTCGGCTCATATCCTTTCATGCTTTCTGTCTTTTATTTGTGTCTGATGCGTTTCGCTGCTGCAGAGCGAGCGCATCACCTGTTTCATCCTCTGGAGACTTCTCCGCACCGGTGTGGCTGGTGCGGCCGGCGCGCGGCGCACACTCCGCTATATTTGCGGTCGGTTGTTCTTTTAGAACTGCGGTTCAAACGTAGTTCATGAGGTGAAAATGTGAAGCCAGGTAGCAGTTTTTCTTCAGGATAGAAAGGAGATGCAGGAAGATAATAAACAGACAGGACAGAAAAATAGTCAAATAAAAACAAGTTTGTTTTTGTACCTGGTGGTTGCAACAAACAGACACCATTGAAGGTAATCAGAAGTGAGGAACAGAAAATGAAATTATTCTTTCAATGTTTAGATCAGCAGGAACTCTGAGAGGCTGCAGGCGCATGAGTTTGCGGCTGCTGCGCAGGGGGAGGGGGGAGAGGGCTGAAGCAGGCAGTAAAGATGCAAAAACTACCATTGTTAAAAGAAATGTGTGTTAACTTAGAAAATGTGGGCGCAAGTTTAATTACTTGTCAACTTTTTTCTCCAATGTTAAGACTGCTGCTCGTGTGGGCCCCCTTGTGGCTGTGGGCCCCTGGGCCTGTGCCCAGCTTGCCTGTATTGTAATCTGGCCTTGGAGCTATGGTATTTTGGTGACAGGGTAGCTGAGGGTCACCCTCAACACAAAACAGATACTGGGATTAAATTTGGTGATGCAGCAGCTCTGAGTCAGACACATCACTTCTGAATGTTAAAATTATTTTATGAGACTTTGTGAACCGGAGTGAATCCAAAACAGCTGCAAATGGTCTGTATTTTGTATAGAGCCTTTTATTCTACAATCCCCCCAAGGCACTTTACAAAGCAACTAGTCATTCACCCATGCACACACACATTCACGTGCTAGTGATAATGAGCTGCATTGTAGCCACAGCTGCCCTGGGACCCAATGGCAGTAGGGAAGCTGCCGTCACCGGCCCCTCCAACCACTACCAGCAGGCAAGGTGACTGAAATGTCTTGCTCAAGAACAACGACTGCAACAAACAAGGCTCGAACCTGCAACCCTCCAGTTACAGGGCAGGCACATAACTCCTCTGCCACACTCACCCCTGTAACTCCACCTTGGTTTTAAACTGGTAGAAAGATGGTGGGTGATATGCATTTCTTTAAGAACTGTTTGATTTATGAGAGATTAAACTTAGAATAAGAAGTTTTTAGTGTTTTATGTGCACACGTTTACACCTGATGGTGCTTACAGGTTTACCCAGACAAATCACCAAAGACGGGTTTGAGGCTTCTTTTGCCACCAACCATCTGGGACCGTTTCTGCTCACCAGCCTTCTGCTGGGTAAGACTCAACCCCCAGCAAGATTAAATCCTCAACTCTTTTGCATCGAGACTACAAGTGTAACACCTCTCTTTTTCTATTGTAACGCCTTTTGTGTTTATGTTTTCATTAGACCTGATTAAGCAATCAGCTCCTGCTCGAATCGTCAACCTTAGCTCAGTCAACCATAAGAGAGGTCAGGTGGACTTCGATCACTTCCATGGAAAGAACCTGGTTCATCACATGGATCAAGTCTACAATCACACCAAGCTGCACAACATCATCTGCACCAATGAGCTGGCGCGCAGATTACAAGGCACAGGTGGGCTGACATTATTCCTTTCATCTATGAGAATATATGTGGCTCACTCCTATTTCCTGGACCTAGTGCAGCGGAGCTTTGTTTCCCCAGAGTGCAGCTTGCAAGGCATTGATTCCTGCTGCAGAGAGCCATAAATATATTGATTAAACAAGTCTTAAACTTTAATTGCAGCAGTGGATTACATAATCTGAGACAAACGTTGTCTAAATTTTGCCGTGAGTTTGGCTCACATCAATAAAGATTCTTATCAAAGATTTAAAACTTGGAATTTTTTATTTTTAAGTTAAAAGAAATAAAATTGAAAGCAACAAAATATGTTGGGTTTACAACAGATAAAACAGAAGAAGTAACTGGACATTGTCCCAAAATATCAAGTACAGTTACAGTTATAGTATAGTTACAGCTCCCTGTGACTCTGAGGGGGAATAAGGAGTTAGGAATTAGTGAGTGAGTGAGTGAGTGAGTGAGTGAGTGAGTGAGTGAGTGAGTGAGTGAGTGAGTGAGTGAGTGAGTGAGTGAGTGAGTGAGTGAGTTGGTGAACTGATCATGTTACTGCTGATGACAGATAAAGCAAAGGAACAAATAAATATTTGTCATTGTCACGTTTTTACAAAGGACAACAAAATAAAAGGTGCTGATGTGAATCCTGCAAGCTAAATGGGACGCATTGTTTCCATCCTTATGTTGCTTTGACATATTTATTCCCTTGGAGCCATACTTTGCAACTTTTTCATATTTTTAAACCATTATTTTGAGCCAGCATGTGCTAAAATGACCCTTTACAAGGTTAATGATATGTCACTCAGACCCCTACTGCTCCCTGTGGCCAGAATCACACAGGAGCTGACACACCTGGTGCTGCAGTATGCTTCCATCACATTTTCTGCATGTTGTCATGAACACAGCGAATTTGTTTAATTTAGTGATGAATCGCTCCTGTAGACACTAAGGACGGCTGAGAGACGTTTCAGCAGTTAGATTAAGGTTTTGGTTTCAGTTTGACCACAGAGAATCAGCGTGCCTTTAACAGCAGCAGAAGACTCTTATTTAGACTCTTAACCTAGATGTGGGTTGTGTGATTGCATGTTTGTATCTAATTTATTTTGCTCAATTCCTCGATTTCATCTCTTGTTTGTTGATCTTTTTTGTGTGTTTTTATTGTAAAACACTTTGTTGGTTTTTATTCTGTGAGGAGTGCTATTTGTGTCCTTTTGTCCTCGCAGGTGTCACTGCTAACTCTGTCCACCCTGGTGTTGTCATGACAGAAGTGATGAGACATTACCCGTTCTGGATCCGTTATCCTTTTAACCTCATCGGGCTTTTCTTCTTCAAAGTGAGTTAAATCAAATATTTGGCTACATCCACATGCATTTTCAACAGAAATCTGTAGTTTTGTCCCCCATTCTTGTTGTTCAGCAGTCTTTTTCTGTATGATTGCTGTCCACAAGTGAGACAGGACTTGAATCTAACACTCATAATTAAAGACGTGAGGTCCTATTGAGCTAAAGCTAGATCAAACAAAGAACGTCACGCAGTATCAGATTTGTGAAGCCCTTGTCCCAGCCCCGTGATGAGAAACCAAATCTGCTGTAAAAATAAGTTCCTGTTTTATGCCTAAACTCAGAGCTCGATGTTTTCTTGGCTCAAGGTTTCTGGGAAGAGTTCAAGGTCACCAGACGATGATCAAAGATAACAGAAACAGAACTTTGACTGGTTGTAAAGCTGCTGTTTATGAGCTGTATTTACACGACTTAAATGTATGAGATTAGTGGATTTAGGTGAGCAGAGAAGCAAACTTTAAAGGTTTGGAATTGCCTTGTTGTTACTTTGGAATACATTTTTTTGCATGAGATGTTACAAAAGTCACAACAAAAACCAGTGATCCCCAACTGCCTTTCCCGAAGACCGATATCCACCATGTTCTACTGATTTCCCTGCTTAAATACAAATTTTTAATCTGCAAGTGATTAACAGGCTTCTGCAGAGTTTAATGAGCTGCTGAACTGGTGAGTCAAGTGGGCCAGTTCAGGGAAACAACTAAAACATGCTTGATAACTGCCCTCAGGAAAGAGAGTTGAGGACACTGATATAAACCATCTGACGGTGCTTTTGTTTATACACACACACACACACACACATGCACGCTCATATTAACAAAAAACACACAATAACACACAAATGCACACACAGACATTTACACAAACACACTCACTTACACACACTTACATAAACACAAGCATGCACATACTAGCAGACACGTGCACGCAAACAAACACACACTCACACAAGCTCTCTACTCAGTATGAGATAAAGGTGGAAGCAGCTGTTGCACGGGTGTTGCTGCTGAATGAATCTAACTCTGAGTTCATAAGGAAGCTTCCTGGTCTTTTCTTCCCTTCCTTGTCACTAGATTTAATATTTGAGCTTTTTTACTTGTCGAATGAATGCAGGATTTATGCTGCAGCTGGAAAAACACCACCTGGATGTAATTTGGTCTCTCACAAACCAGACCTTGGACACGTGATGATTCTGCCCTTCCACTCTGCTGTGGTCTCTGCTCCCATGACAAACGCAGCGCATTCAAACAAAATGACTTAAATAAACAAGCTGAGTTTTGAACCCACACATTAACCAGGCTGTCTGTGTGTGCTGCATACGTGAAACATCACCAAAAGACCTCAGATAGTGGAATCATTTATTTGCTTTTTGTAATTCGTCTTCTTTATCAGCACTTCTGTCACCACAGACAATTAATTGTATTTTCCAATTGCAAACATGTTAAAAACTCAAGAAAATGTATTTGGGAAATCAGATCTGAACACTTTTAGAATTTGGTTGCAACCCGGATGGTGTTGCGGCTGGAGAAGTTCAGCAGGAGGACGTGAAACAGACTGTGGTCATTTAGTGACAGCATCTGACAGTCAAAACTAATCCGGCGGCCAAGATTTAAACTCTGAGTTCAAAGAAGATTTCTAAAGATGAAGGAAAGTATGTTTGACAGCAGTTAAACATTTTCCATATATAGAGCTTAACAAACCATAACAACAATGTTAAGAATCCAGTTTGGTCTGCCACTGCTGACCGTGTGGTGGAGTCACGTTCCTGCTAAATGAGCGCCTTCAAGCGTACTCATCATGCACTTCCTGTCAACCCCATAAAGCAGGAAGGGTTGCACTCTCAGTTTTCTTTTTTGTTCCCTAAGTAGGATTTTACACACCAGGATAAGATTTTAAAAGATAGCTGGTCCTTACTTTTCTTTTTATATAAGTTTAGGAAAATCACCCCCAGCTGAATGACGACACATTTGACCAATGAAGTAAACACAGGATAAAATAAAAACATGATCTGTTTAGTATGAATTTAGCGCTTTGGAACAGCCTTAGCTCAGACCTCCCGCCTAATCCAGACCTTCACTGGGTCATTGTACGACTTTGATTGGTTGCAGATTTGGGAAGGATTGTGCTGTTATATAACACCACTTAGGCCCAGCTTTGGTCATTTAGTCAGCTGAATCTAGGATCATTTGGTATCCAGAGGAGTTCAGTGGCTGCAAGGTTCCCAAACCCTCAGCCCTGTCTTTGAAGAAATTGTGCTAGTTTGTTTTTTCTCTCAAAAATGCCACTCATTATAAATAAACATGTTATTTTTGTTCTATTTTCCATTTAAAGGTGTGGAACACTTGTTTGATCACTACATTTGTAGTGGTCCCTAGTAGGAATGAATGCCTTGTAAGTTGTTCTCGGGGGTGTTTATGCCGTTGCATCGTTTCTAGGAACTAGAAGTGAGCCGCATCACAGCCGCGGTTCAGACGACAGGATTCGGAGTCTTATTTCCTGATATTTGGACATCTTGCCTTGGATTGGATTACAGCGATGTAACTCCACCACTGAGTTGCGACGCTGATTTTTATCTCCACAAATAACACAAGCCTGGAGGAGTTCTGCCATGTGTTGAAGATGCTAATGGTAACGGTTAGCTTAAACTAGTCAAGATGTTCTCTGCTGTTTCCTGAGAACAATGTCCTCAGGAAACTGTCCTCAGGAAACTGTGGGTTTACTTTAGCATTCAGAGCTGTTTACTGAATGCTAAAGTAGTCCCAAGTCTAAAATAGCACCTGTGATTCCTTTATGTTACTTATTTTCACTTGTAGTCAGTCTGATTATTTAGGTCACCAAGCAGAATTGAGATCACTACTGAGTGATTTTATGAACTTTTTTTTTATATAGCGCCAAATCACGACAAGAGTCGTCTCAAGGCACTTCACATAATAAACATTCCAATTCACAGTTCATTAAGCCAATCAGAAATAATGTTTCCTATATAAGGAACCCAGCAAATTGCATCAAGTCACTGACTAGTGTCAGTGACTATACAGCAATCCTCATACTAAGCAAGCATGCAGCGACAATGGAGAGGAAAACTCTTTCACAATGCTAGTTGGATCCATTCATTTACTGTGTTTTATGCTAAGCTAAAGCAAAAGGAATATCGCTGGGTCAGGAGAATGACTGGGCTTGTGTTTTACGTCTTTTGGCAGTTTTCTGGGCTGTAGGTCCAGACTTGGTTCACTTCACTGTTTATTTATGTGTGTTTTAATTTCGTTTTGGCACTGTTCCACAACTGAGAAATAGCGCCACCACTGCAAGAAAATCAAGTAAAACCCAAACTCTTGGTTATTCACAGGATCATATATTTTCATTTTATTTACTTCAAAGTTTATGATTTCACTCATCGTAGATGTTTTTTATGCAAACTTGCATATAACCTTGAAAAAATTGTATATACGTATATATGCAAGTCTGATTGCATACTCTCCACAATTTCTGTCTCCCTCTCAGTCACCAGAAGAGGGTGCAGTCAGCTCCATCTATTGCGCCGTGGCCGAAGAGCTAGAAGGAGTAACTGGGAAGTACTTTGACAGCGACTGCTTGATGGTTCTTCCTGCTCCACAAGCTCGAGACGCTGCCCTGGCAGTGAAGGATTTTGAGTTCTGTGAGAGGCTCACATCGAAGCTGTGAAACACGTGCGGCAACAACTGATGACAGGAGAAAGCCCATGTTCTCACATTTTTCATAAATTACAGAAGCTCAAAAGAATGATACAATCACTTTAATTTATTGGCTTATTTCATTCAAACACAACAAAATGCTTATATTTCTACAGCGTTGGTCCTCTTGTGCCCTTGGCCTTGCAACTTGGCTGCAGAGACAGACATTGGTCATTCCTTGCAGGTTTCCACTCATCTTTATTGTAAAAACTGAAGAATGTGCCACACACTGATATCATAATACCTTTCTGAAGCCCCTCCACTATTTCTCCTCGAGCACCGGAGCCACACGAACCAGCTGTTTGGGTGATAGACGGACATCTAAATCCAACGAGTTTTCCTGAACACAAACACACACGGATCAGGTGTTAGTGTTGGACGGGCCGGTTCAGAACCTGACTAACGATGGAGCTGGTGTTGGGGTCAAGCTCACGGGATTGGGATCACGCTCCATCCGAGGAGCTTGCCGAACAGTGACATCCTCAAACGGACCGTCGTCTGACCGAGGCCCCGTGTCCTTCTTACCTTCTCGCTCCTGAACACACACATTAGGATGTAGCACACACACACACACACAGGTAAAAATGAAATAATTTTATCAACAAGGATCTACACTATAACTGAGAAGTTTAAGATCTTTTGCAAATGTTTTTGTTTTTTATGAGATCTTCGCATAAAATGCAGAAATTATCAGTTAGAAATCCAGATTTTCATGGAAACGTTGAAAGTTTTCTTCCAGCTTTGCTTTTATCATAAAACACTTCTGCTCCATCCTCGCAGACCCAGCTGTTGGTGCTTCAAGGTAAATCTGGAGAATCTCTGAAGTCCGTGCTGGCCGCTCCATTACAGTCAGAATTAGAGGTCGACCAATATCGTATCAATATCGATACCGATGTTGATATGTAGGAGTCTTGGTCAGCCGGTGGCCGATAAGCGCTGCTGATTTTTTGGGGACGATTTTCATGGCCTACATCCAGACGTTTTCAACCTTATTTTCGTGGTAAAATGTCACTAATAACATCAGATGATGCACAAATTTTTTTAACTGACTTTAACTATTAAATCTTAACTTTGTGAACTGCTCAGTCAGACACCTAAATAAAGCGTGCAAATGACTGTTGGTGTTTCCACACAGCCATGAACAGAGACGATGGGGCCTACGCATGGGACTGCGTCATCTGCGAGGAAAGCGTGCGCAGCAGAGGGCGACATCGTCCTCTGCTGCCCACTGATAAATAGAGAAGGAAGTGTCGCGACACCGGCAGCGTCTGACAAAGACCGCAATACTGGTCAAAGCGTCAGCAAAAAAGTAAAACAATACTTTTCCTGAGTTAAAAAAAGTAATACACTAATAGCTGCTGTCTGTATGTTTTCTTTTATCTGGTGGCACCATCTAGTGGCTGACAAGTGTATCACATATTGATCTACTTTCAAAAGCAACGCCTTTTCATGAACACACTCCTCTAGCCAGCAAATTAGAGCCAAAACACCTTGTTTTACAATTATTATGCTCGTGTTATGTTGTGTTTTCATATATTCATATTTTAAAGACTTACTCGTCCACGAGAAAGGTCGCCAACCTGCATCAACCGAGGTACGTCCTTAAATGCTCAAGCATGCTCTGTGATTGACGTCTGTATGTAAGCGGTAGTCTTACGCTATTGGTTAGTCCTGACCGGCACTCAGTTCATATTGCATGAAGCTCTACAGGAAAGGTGGCGGGCTTAGCAAAAACAAACAAACATATTGTCTACATCATATCACAGTACATGATTGAGAAGACAATCACTTGTATGTATTTCATACATAATTCCTGAAAGGGGAAAACTCCGGACAGCAGCTTTAAGACTTTTTAAGTATTGACAGACACCCTGTATTAATTATGTGTGTGTTTAAATGTTTTAGAGCCACAGATGGAGTTAAGCTGAGAAAACACATTCAAAGGTTAAATTTACTGTTACAAAATACAAACAGCAAGTTGTTTTCATTGGGAAACCAAAATCAAATTTTCAAATTTTATTTATATAGCTAAATAAAAATGATTAATTCAAGAACAGACTCAGTTTTGATCTGTCTATTTGCAAATGTTTTTGTCCCGAGGTTCACTGGGCTGTGAGTCAACTCATTCATCTCATTACCAGAAAATCCCCCAATTCATCACCAGACCCCTTTGGTGGAACCACGCCAGACAACACGTCTCATTGTGAACAGAAGATATCCTTAATTCCTGTTGATCCTCAGGCTGAGATAAACCCAGATCAAATGAATCTGCTTTTATGTTTTACAACCAGCTTTTTATTTGCAAAATGACTCAATTAGAAACCAGAAGTGTTTATTATGAATATGTCTTCACAATTTAAGAAAGGTTTATCAATTTGAAAACATTCTGTGTAAGAAGATGGAAAATAAAATAGTCCTGCAAATGAAGAAGAACTAAATCCAAAGCTCTGATTGTATTCTGTTATCAGTGCTGCTCACCTTCATCAGCTGTATCTCCTTTGGGCTGAAGAACGTAATGTGTCCCTCTGTCCTCTCAGCCAGGAACACCAGCATGAACACCAGCACCATGCAACCTGCCACCGTTCCACGCATGCTCATCCTGTCACCTGTACACATAGACATACTTTAAGCCTGTCCATTGGTCCATTCGGAGCAGACTGTGCACACACTAAACGTCCAGTACCGTGTGAGTGTGACTTGAGTCGGGGGAGTCACAGCAGAAATGTTGTCTTAAGATACGTGAAAACAGGTCAATGTTTGACAGGAGGTGCAAGGAAAGCTGATAAAAGGTCGAAAGAAGGACGCAAAGGATCTTGTGTTTATGTAAGAGAGAGGTTGACTCATAGGGAAAACATAAGGAGGGAAAAGGGACGGAGGAGAGTGGAGTTTCTGTGGCGAAGAACAACAAGATAAGAGAGAGGAGAGGCTGAAGACAGCAAGCCACACTTACAACAACAAGAGGACAGTGCATGGACACAAGGAGGATGTTGAAGAACACAGAGACAATAGAGAGGTGGCCTGGGACTGACACGGAGATACAGAGGAAACCATATGTTGCTCACGTGCTGCGTCGGCCAGCTGTTTGTGGAAGCGTTCCTGTAAACGAGGAGGACTCCGGCGGTCTGAGAGTCAGCCTGTCCCAGTCGGTCTTTATATCAGACCTTCTAGTGTCAAGGCTGGGCTCTGTCCTCCCTCACATCCGCTCCTTAAGAGGCTCCTTCAGGAACGCTGCTCCATGCTCCTGGAAACACAGACATCACTCTGGAATCTGGCTGTCTTTTTATTGGAGGGGCAAAGACTTTGCTATGCATGCAGGAACTGAAAATATGAACAAACTGATGAGAAACTGTAGAGTTTGTGGTCACAAAATTACTGAGGTTTTTTTATTTTATTTTTTTTCACTCCTCAAATGAGGCTCTGGAGAACAATGACACTAATTCAGAACACACTTTAAATACAAAAAAAGTTTTCAAATAATCCAAATAAGACCAAAGTGTGCAAATGGGTCACAAATTCTCTCTTCTACATTATTATTTAACACAAAGTGATGTTCATAAGCTGCCAGGGACATTCAGACCCTCATACACGTGCTGGAGTTTCATGGCTCTCAAGAGCTTTATGGGTGTTTTCCTAAATATGACTGTTTTCCTGCATGATGCTGAAATGTGACTGCAGCTCAGATGTGTTTATTGCTGCCATAACACTCGCAGAAGTGGGTATTTTAGAATGTCCCCATCGTTCTGTTTGGTAAGTCGAGTAGATGAGTGATGCAGCTTTGTGTTTCTGCTGCAGCACCAAAGATCCTGACATATTTCTGTTACTTAGATATGTTGATTTTAGGGATGTGTTCCACACATGGATATTTTTTTCTACTCATACACATCTGCAAGGCATTCCTGGACCAGATTGGAGATGTAACCTCACCAACGTGTCCTGGGTCGACCCAGGGGGCCTTCTGCCGGCAGGACATGCCCGAAACACCTCCCCATGGAGGCGTCCAGGAGGCATCCTGACCAGATGACTCCTTTTGATCCAGAGGAGCAGCGGTTCTACTCCGAGTCCCTTCCAAATGTCCGAGCTCCTCACCCTATCTCTAAGGCTGAGCCCGGCCACCCTACGGAGGAAACTAATTTCGGCCGCTTGTATCCGCGATCTCGTTCTTTCGGTCATTACCTAAAGCTCATGACCATAGGTGAGGATTGGGACGTAGATCAACCGGTAAATCGAGAGCCTGGCTTTCTGGCTCAGCTCCCTCTTAGTCACGACAGATCGGCTCAGCATCCGCATCACTGCAGACGCTGAACCAGTCCGCCTGTCGATCTCCCGATCCCTCCTACCCTCACTCGTGAACAAGACCCCAAGATACTTAAACTCCTCCACTTGAGGTAGGACCTCTCTCCCGACCCAGAGTTGGCAAGCCACCCTTTTCCGGTCAAGAACCATGATCTCAGATTTGGAGGTGCTGATCCTCATCCCAGCCGCTTCACACTCGGCCGCGAACCTGCCCAGCAAGAGCTGAAGGTCAGAACTGGATGAAGCTAGGAGGACCACATCATCCGCAAAAAGCAGAGACGAGATTCTCCTGCCACCAAACTCGACACACTCCACACCACGGCTGTGCCTATAAATTTTGTCCATAAAGGTAATGAACAGAACCGGTGACAAAGGGCAGCCCTGGCGGAGTCCAACCCTCACAGGGAACAGGTCCGACTTACTACCGGCTATGCGGACCAAACTCACGCTCCTCTGGTAAAGGGACTGGATGGCCCTTAACAGAAAGCCACTCACCCCATACTCCTGGAGCGTCCCCCACAGGGTGCCCCTGGGGACACGGTCATAAGCCTTCTCCAAATCCACAAAACACAAGTGGATTGGTTGGGCAAACTCTCATGCCCCCTCCATCACCCTTGCAAGGGTATAGAGCTGGTCCACCGTTCCACGGCCAGGACGAAAACCACATTGCTCCTCCTCAATCTGAGATTCAACTATCGATCGGACCCTCCTCTCCAGTACCTTGGAGTAGACCTTTCCAGGGAGGCTGAGGAGTGTGATCCCCCTGTAGTTGGAACACACCCTCAGGTCACCCTTCTTAAGGATGGGGACCACCACACAGGAACTGCCCCCGATGACCATGCAATGTTGCAGAGACGTGTCAACCATGACAGCCCTACAACATCCATAGCCTTGAGATACCCAGGATGAATCTCATCTGCCCCCGGGGCTCCGCCGCTGTGTAGTTGTTTGACTACCTCAGCAACTTTTGCCCCCGAGATTAGACAGTCCATCCCCAGGTCTCCCGGCTCTGGTTTCTCCTCGGAATGTGCGTAGGTGAGATTGAGGAGCTCCTCAAAGTATTCCCTCCACCGTCCGACTATAGCCCCAGTTGACGTCAGCTGCTCCCCATCCCCACTGTAAACAGTGTGAGCGAGTTGCTGCCTTCCTCTCTTGAGGCGCCGGACAGTTTGCCAGAACCTCTTTGGAGCCGATCGATAGTCTTTCTCCATGGCCTCACCAGACTCCTCCCACACCCGAGATTTTGCCTCGGCAACTGCCACTGCTGCACCCCGCTTGGCTATCTGGTACCTGTCTGCGGAGACCCACAGACCAGCCACGCCCTGTAGGCCTCCTTCTTCAGCCTGACGGCTCCCCAAACCTCTGGTGTCCACCAGCGGGTACGGGGGTTACCACCACGACTGGCACCGGCCACCTTGCGACCACAGCTAGCAACAGCCGCCTCAACAATCGCAGAGTGGAACAAGGCCCACTCGGGGTCAATGTCCCCCACTGCTCTTACGACATGGTCAAAGCTCTGCCGGAGGTGGGAGTTGAAGACCGTATTGACAGGTTCTTCTGCCAGGCGTTCCCAGCAAACCCTCACTATGCGTTTGGGTCTGCCAGGTCAACGCGGCATCTTCCCCTGCCATCTGATCCAACTCACCACCAGGTGGTGATCAGTTGACAGCTCCGCTCCTCTCTTCACTCGGGTGTCCAAAACATACGGCCGCAGGTCAGATGATATGACTATAAAGTCTATCATTGACCTGCGACCAAGGCTGCCCTGGTACCAAGTATACCGATGGGCATCCTTATGTTCGAACATGGTGTTCGTTATGGCCAAACTGTGGCTTGCACAGAAGTCCAATAACGAAACTCCACTCGAGTTCAGATCAGGCGGGCCGTTCCTCCCAATCACACCCCTCCAGGTCATGCTGTCATTGTCCACGTGAGTACTGAAGTCCCCCAGCAGGACAATGGAGTCCCCTGATGGAGCACTATCTAGCACTCATCCCAGGAAATCCAAAAAGGGTGGGTACTCTGAACTGATATTTGGCCCATAAGCACAAAACAGTCAGGACCAGTTCCTCGACCCAAAGTCACAGGGAAGCTACCCTCTCGTCCCCTGGGGTAAACCCCAACACACAGGCAGAGAGTCTTGGGGCTAACAAAAAGCCAACCCCAGCCCTCCGCCTCTCACCCAGAGCAACTCCAGCAAAGGAGAGTGTCCAACCCCTCTCAAGGACTTGGGTTCCAGAGCCAATGCTATGTGTTGAGGTGAGTCCAACTATATCTAGCCAGTACCGCTCAACCTCTGCCACAAGCTCCTGCTCCTTCCCCGCCAGCGAGGTGACGTTCCATGTCCCAAAAACCAGTTTCCTTGTCCGGGGAACCGGACCGCCAAGGCTCCCGCCTCCATCTGTTTAATTAATTTACTTAAATTTGTCATCATGTTTCTATTTAGAGACCTATTATTGTACCCATACACATTGATAAGAAGGAGCTTTTGTTCACAAAACTCTGCTATTACCATGAGCCAATGCTCATGATGATGAAGATGATTGTTATTATAAGCTACTCTTACATTATCTGTGGGTGGGCGTTAAATGTGTTGTGTAGTGTAGACAGTTGCTGTACTCACTGTTCAATCGTAAAATATTTGTCTCATTACACTTAAACTTACCCCAGACCAAACTGTTTAGAATGTTTTAGGTCAGCAGGTTGCCAGATCTCACATTGTTTTGTTAGTCGTAGAAGACTCTCTCTAAAAGTTAAATTTTGTTCTAACTCTTGTCTTTTATACCTTTTTTCTTTTTTTTTATGTCTTTGTCTATCATTTCGTTAAATGCGAGAGGTCCTAGGAATCATTTGAAACGAAAAGCCATTTTCCTTTACTGTAGACAACAGAATACAGACTTTTGTTTTCTTCAAGAATCCCATTCGGTTTCATCAGATTTAAATTTCTGGCGTTCGCAGTGGGGTTCTGATATTTGGATGTCACATGGAACAGAACAATCTGCTGGAGTGTCTATCTTAAAGAATCGTTTTAATGGATCTGTCTTAACTTCTGAAACTGACAAAGCAGAACACTACATACGACTTGTGGTAGAATTGACAGATATAATTTTAATCCTAGCAAATATTTACGGTTACAACAAATGGTTAGAGAACTCTGTTTTTATAGATAAACTGGAAGAACGCTTACTTTATTGTTTAACTAAATATCCAAATGGCAACATAGTTATAGGAGGAGATTTCAATATTGTTCTAAATAATTTCATGGACAGATGGCCACCTAAAAACAATAATAAATATCGAAATAACTTTCTAGCTTATTTTATTGATAGATATAAACTAATATACACATGGAGAGAAACACACAAGTTTCAAAGGGAGTATACGTGGGGAAATAAATCTTTATCATACTGTTCAAGAATTGACTATTGGCTCAGTTCCAAGGACTTCAACAATGTAGTTACAAATATTCTACCTTGTCCTTTAACTGATCATAAAACATATATATTTCTGTTCCCTTAATAACAGCACCTAATAATGTTAATCATTCATATTGAAAATTTAATAGCAGTCTTCTTAAAAATATGGAAATCTGTTTGGCAGTGGAGAGTCTCATTGGGAGTTTTTGGGAAAAGGCCTTGGCAGAAAGTTCTTTTAGCCTTAATTGGGAGCTATTTAAACATGAAGTCTCAAAGTTGCTTAGAAAATGTCGTAGTGACTTGGCAAAGAAAAGGAAAAAGGAAGAAAGTGAAACTGTGCAAAAAAAATTACTTTTTTATATTCGAAACCTTCTGCTTCTTTAACCACAAGTGAAAAAACGGTGCTTGAGGAAATGCAATCTAAACTAGATGAGATGTAAAAAAGATAGCAGAAGGAGCATATATCTGATCACGTAAACAATGGATAGAAGAAGGTGAACAAAACTCTGCCTATTTTTTTAGACTCGAAAGACAACATTCTAAAAATAACTCCATAAGACAACTGAAAATAGATGGTTTGGTTGTAGAAAACCCCCAAAAAATTGCTAATTACTGCTCTGAATTTATAGTAATCTATATACACCTAGTTTTTGCAGGCACTCAACTAGTCAATTTTTCAACTCACTTCCTAGTAAAAGAAAACTGACAGCAAGTGATACTGGCTTCTGTGACAGTTCAATAACCTTAAGTGAAGTAAGTAAGGCCTTAAGCCAACTAAAAGCAAATAAATCGCCAGGATCTGATGGACTTACAAGTGAATTTTACAAAAGATTTTCTGAAAGTTTAACTCCATTTTTACTGGCAGTTTATACGGAAAGCATTCAAAAGCAAACACTTCCCCCTACGTTGCGTCAAGCAGTCATTACTCTTGTCCCTAAGCCAAATAAAGACTCTACTGTTAGACAATTGGCGTCCAATCTCCTTACTTAACAGTGATTGCAAAATACTTGCTCTGGTCTTAGCTAACAGAATTAAAATAGTAATTGACTCAATTATTGACGAATGTCAATCTGGTTTTATGAAAAATTGTCACATTTCTAATAATCTTAGGCTGATTATAGATATACTAGATTACTCAGAATTTATAGAGGATAACAGTTTCATTCTCTTTTTGGACTTTCATAAAGCATTTGATACTATAGAGTATGAATTTATATTCACTACTCTTAAAAAATTTGGTTTTGGTGATATTTTTCTCGAATTGTGTTACAACTTTATACGCAGGTGGAAATAGTTCAGTAAAACTCCCAACAGGTACATCCCCTAAATTTAATCTTCAGCGAGGACTTAGGCAGGGATGCCCACTTTCTGTATACCTTTTCTTATTAGCAGCTGAGTTTCTAAATATACAAATTAAGAACAGAACTGTACAAGGAATCACCATTGCAAATCGAACAATTTCTATAAGTCAATTGGCTGATGATACAGCTTTATTTTTAAAAAATATTTCACAAATCTCCCCTGCAATCAATACTATTGCATCTTTCACTAAAGCCTCAGGTCTGTCTCTTAATATAAACAAATGTGAGCTGATGTCAATCAAAGAATGCCCCTACTCTTCAATCTGTGGCATCCCGGTCAAAGACTCTGATACCTTGGTATTAATATTTCTAAAAATGGTAAGAATAGAAGTATCGATAACTTTTCACCAATTAACAAATCCAGAAAAATATTCAATAGTTGGTTACAAAGAGATCTTTCCTTGAAAGGTAGAGTGTTGCTCACTAAAGCCGAAGGCTTGTCTAGGTAAATTTATGCCTCCCAGTCCTTATATGTAGACAAATCTATAATTAAATCTGCAGATCGAATGTTATCGGATTTTATATGGAAGAACAGAACTCATTATTTACGTAAATCTATTGTCTTAAATAACAATAAGGAAGGTGGTCTAAACGCTATAGACTTTGACTCTCTCAATAATACATTTAAATTTAAGTGGATTAGAGCCCATCTTAAAAATCCAAACTCTATATGGAATTTTATCTCAACCTATTGGGCCATTCCCATCTGTACCGGGTCGGCCTGGGCCGGGTAGCGTAGGTTGTTTACATATCTGGGTGGCCTGGTATTTTTCCAGGTCAACCAAGGCTCATTCTCAGCCCTCTTCTCGAGGGTGTCTGCTTCAGGCCGACCAGGGCCAACACACCCACTGCTGACAGCAAATTCACACCTTCTATTAGAGCAAGCCTCTGATTGGTGGGTAGAATCAGCCCACATGGGCTTAAGACAAGGATGTGTGGAATCAACCGGGCCAGGCAGGGGCCGACTGGGGCTACCCGGCCCGGGCCGACCCGGTACAGATGGGAATGGCCCATTAGTTTTCTCACACCTAGGTGGCCTAGAATTCACCCTCCTATGCAACAATATCTCTAAAATACCAATCAAGCTATCTAATTTCCACCAGCAAGTATTATTAGCACGGCCCCTTGCATAAAAACAACTTTTCTCCACACAGATGCTTTATTTGGAATAACTGCAATATTTTGTACAAAAACAAATCCTTTTTCCATAACTGGTTTAGCAATGCTATTCTGAATGTTTCCCAATTACTTAACAATGAAGGCTGTTTTTACTTATTCAGAATTTCTAATGAAATATAAAATTTCAGTAACCTTAAATGAATACAGCATTGTACTTCATGCAATTCCGACAGGCATACTTACAGTGGTGTGAAAAACTATTTGCCCCCTTACTGATTTCTTATTCTTTTGCATGTTTGTCACACAAAATGTTTCTGATCATCAAACACATTTAACCATTAGTCAAAGATAACACAAGTAAACACAAAATGCAGTTTTGAAATGATGGTTTTTATTACTTAGGGAGAGAACAAAATCCAAACCTACATTGCCCTGTGTGAAAAGTAATTGCCCCCTGAACCTAATAACTGGTTGGGCCTCCCTTAGTAGCAATAACTGCAATCAAGCTTCTGCGATAACTTGCTACGAGTCTTTTACAGCGCTCTGGAGGAATTTTGGCCCACTCATCTTTGCAGAATTGTTGTAATTCAGCTTTATTTGAGGGTTTTCTAGCATGAACCGCCTTTTCAATCAATCAATCAATCAATTAGACTTTATTGTTACTAAGGTAGCGCGACTCATGTTCCGAATGATCGCAGTCACCAATTCTTGTCATGTGTCTTACCCATGTATGTCTGATCTTTGAATTGTGTGCACTGAAACTCAATTTCGTTTCTCTGTATGTCCTGCACATGTAGTAGAAATGACAATAAAATGACTTTGAATTTGACTTCAGCCATATACGGTTTGTACACAGTGAGGCGAAACAACGTTCCTCCAGGACCAAGGCGCTACATGCAACATAAATTTACAACATAAAAATAACAGGGAGATCACACTATCTAAGGACAGAACAGACTGACCTAACATGACATGTCCTCTCTAAGTAGGTAGTACAAAGGAAAAAAAGAAAAACCGTAAACTTATTTAGTATGTAGGTAGAATCATACAATATTCATACATGGAGTAAAAAATAAAAACCACAATGCACAAACATAAACAACGTTGCACCATTTGGCTCCGGAGTGGCCGCTGCGTGCTACTGCCGCCGCCGCCATTGTCGTCTTGTCATTTTTAAGGTCATGTAGTAGCATCTCAATCGGATTCAGGTCAGGACTTTGACTAGGCCACTCCAAAGTCTTCATTTTGTTGTTCTTCAGCCATTCAGAGCATTGTTTTGTTTATTTTTCTTCTCTGTATTTTTATTTATATCTTTTCCTTCTCTCTCTCTCTCTCTCTCTTTTGCTATATTGTTTGATGTGTACGTGCTGTTAGTCAATAACGTTGTATATTAATCCAAAATGTTCAGGAATGTTTTTGTAAGATCTTAAAAGCAGAAATAAAAAAAAATAATAAAAAAAATTTGAATTATGGAACTTAATGCAGGGCGGGCATGAAAAAGACAAACCAGTTCCTCTTTCTTTATCCTTTTCATTGAGTCACAGAATGGGCAGTGATGAAGAAGAAAGTTGAAAAGAGGATTGCTATATCATTTTAATTGTGAGTCACACTAAGCAGTTGTAAAGTGAAAATGAAAATGCATTTCTGCAAATGCATTTTCATTTTCAGATTTGTCATTTCAAATTGAATTTTGTTACACATTTGCTGGAGTGTTATTTGAAAACTAGTTCTCAAATGCCTTTTTCTTTATCATTTTTCATGAAGTCATAGAATAAGCAATGATGAATAAGAAAATTAAAAAGCAGTTTTGAGAAATGCTTTTTCATTTTGATTGTGAATCACACTATGCAGTTGTGTTGTGAATATGAAATAGCATTTCTTCTAATGCAGTTTAATTTTCAAATTTGACATTTCAAATTTAATTTTGTTACATTTTTGCTGGAGTGTTATTTAAAAATCTTAAATGTGTTTTTCTTTATTCTTTTCATTAAGTCACAGAATAAGCAATGATGAAGAAGAAAGTTAAAAAGCAGAGGATTGCTTGTTAATTTTATTTATGAGTCAAATTTGGCAGTGGTAATATGAAAATGAAATATCATTTCTGCTACTGCATAATATTATTTCTGTAACACATACGCTTCCATATTAATTAGCCTGAGACGCCAATTAAACTTCAGTGTGATTGATTATAAGCAGATTTTGCAGATGTGAGGTCTGCAGCAGTTTCAGATCTCGCGGTGATAGGAAGATAACGCGGTACTTGGGGCACGCTCCAGCTCAGTGAAACGTCTTTCTCGAAAGGTAAAGCAGAACTAGCAGACACGCGGCGCGTGCTGCTGCAGAGATTTAACAAACATGGTAAGAAACGGTAATCTAACTATCCAAACCTTGCTCCAAAGTTTTCTTCGTTACTGTTAGTTACTCTTTTATACTAGTGAACTTTTAAAAAGACATTGTTAGTTTTAGAGGCGTTACTAAAGTCACGTCGAAGGCCTGCTAGCATCAGAGGAGCAGGAAACCGTCTTTGGTTGACGTTAGTGGGAATATTATTATATTTCACGGTTAAATGTTTGAACAGAAATCACACACCTGAATAAGTTGGTCGTATTCAAGAGGATTGCAACTGAATTTTACTGTCTAAAAGCAACACGTTTTTGCTAGGCTGTTAGCACGCTAGGTTATTAGCGCGCTCACGTGGGCCCGGGTCAACACGTGGGTTCTTCAAGGCGACGTGGTTACGGGTAAATAGTTGTGTTAGTTTGTTGAACTTTAAAAGTGGACACGTAAAGTGAACACAGGACAGTAAGCTGAATGCAACATACCTAAATTAGGGCTGCCTCCTGGTGACCACGTGCAGTCTAGTGTTAACACTTCCGTCTAGCAGGAAGCTTCCCTCCGACGCCTTAAGTTGTGTCAAACCCTGTTTCTGATTTATCTTGTGCAGGTTGTGCTCCGTGTGTTGTTCGAGCACGCGGCGGGCTACGCGCTGTTCGCCGTCAGAGAGGTGGAGGAGATCGGAATGCTGCTGCCACAGGTGAGTGCAGGATTTATCAAACCCCAGATTCTCGCCTGCCGGAGCTGAGATCGCTCACTGTTTATGTCTGACAGGTAGAGGAGAGCGTGCTAAGCGTCGCAAAGTTCAACAGCATAGTGAACCTGGCCGCCTTCTTCCCCTTTAAGTCGGCCCAGACAGCCTTGGAGAATATGAACGCGATTTCTGAAGGTTAGTGTTCAGTTTTTGTCTCACTGAGATTAAATCATCCTCAGTAGTAATGATGTGTTATAATCTGTCAATCCACTGAGTTAATATGATGACAGCCTAATGTGAACTCTGAACATCTGAGGATCTCCATGTGGTCTGGATTAAGCCTCCAGTTGTTAACCCAACTTCTGTTTATGTGGATTAAATAAATTACCTTAAAAATATTTAAATGGTAATTATGATTATTTGTTTGTAGGTGTGGTTCATGCAGATCTCAAGCTGTTTTTGGAGACAAACCTACCCCAATCAGCAAAAAAGAAGGCTGTTTTGGGGGTTTCTGATGCCAAAATTGGAGCTGCTCTTCAAGAAGAATTTAATATTTCCATCCAGACTGGTGGCGTGGTGGCTGAAATAACAAGAGGTGAGAATTAAGTTTTATTAATGGCTCGATCTAAGAAGCCATAACAATCAGGTCACTTACAGATGGATTTTGACTTCACGTCTTCTGAACATTTCAAAGCTGTTGTGATGTGATCTTGTGATCCTGATGCTCATGAAGGCTCATACTGAAAATCTGAACAGCCATCAAAAAACAGCATTCTTTCACTATTCCCTCCCAGTACGAACTAACACACCTAGCCATTTCTCTGATTCAAACAGGCCTGCGTTTGCACTTCCACTCATTGGTGAAGGGTCTGACTGCCCAGGCGGCATCCAAGGCACAGCTGGGTCTCGGTCACAGCTACTCCAGAGCTAAAGTCAAATTTAACGTCAACAGGGCTGACAACATGATCATCCAGTCCATCGCTCTGTTGGATCAGCTCGACAAAGACATCAACACATTCTCTATGCGTGTCCGGTAGGATTCTGATCTGAAGGTTTATATTTGATCATATGTGGGGTATACTGGTTAGAATCTGTAAGAAATGTTGTTTCTGCTGAGCGTTTCAGCTCATTTTTCTTTAATTTCATAAGTGAAATGTTTTCTTGAGCACTCCTCCTAATGCTTACCACAGGCAGCGTACCACAGAGAGCTGTCTGTATAGAAACAGGAGGTACAGGAACCTCTCCTAACGCTTGTGCTGTGCTAGCTTTAGTCTAGTAGGGCAACACTGTTGGGTGAGACAGGTTGTATTGAGATTTGTCACAATCACCAAAAACCCTAAGCTTGTACCGCCTGTTTTTACACAAGGGTTTTGGTTTTATTTCCAGTGAGTGGTATGGTTACCACTTTCCAGAGCTGATTAAGATTGTCCCTGAAAACTCCATGTACTGTCGCCTGGCGCAGCTGATTGGTAACAGAAAGGAGCTGTCTGAGGAGAGTTTGGAGAGCCTGGAGGAAGTGGTGATGGACAGCACCAAGGCCCAGGCCATCCTGGATGCATCTCGCTCCTCAATGGGTGAGTAACATGTGCTAATGTGTTCCTGCTTTAACTTGTGCCCCTTTTTTGCCCACCTGGACCTCTAAATGTCCTTGGTGTCTAACACAGGGGGGTAAAGAAACTCTCTCATAAACCTGTAGTGAAGGCACAAACCCTCACTGCGGATCCTGTCGGGAGAAACAAGCTCATGGTTCAGATAACCAAACAGAATCATGAATTTCCTTCTGCTCACCACTTCTGGGTTGTTTCTATTTTAGGTATGGACATCTCTCCCATCGACCTCATCAACATTGAGAGGTTTTCCAATCGTGTCGTTTCTCTGGCTGCTTATCGGCTGGGGCTGCAGGAGTACCTGCGCTCCAAGATGAGCCAGGTGGCACCAAACCTGGCGGCCTTAATCGGAGAAGTGGTGAGCACAAGTTTATTTAATCTAGTTTTATGTGGACCAATGATGTCATGCCTAAATCTGTCAATCCACTGATTTGATGTGCTGAGAAACTCTTCTGGTGCTGATGGTCCCTGATGTGTGTAACTGGCATGCAGGGTAATGTAGATCTGCCAGTGGTGCTTGCCTGACTTCTTTTTTTTTTTTTTTTTTTTTGCTTTTAGGTTGGAGCTCGGCTGATTTCTCACGCCGGCAGTTTAACCAACCTGGCCAAGTACCCTGCATCCACGGTTCAGATCCTGGGAGCAGAAAAGGCTCTGTTCAGGTACTTGGGCGCCCCCTCCCTGCTGGGGAAACTTGTGGTTGCAGTGATGGCAGGGCTGGGCTGGAGCAGAGCAGGGTGACTGGAGAGGGCTGAAGCCTTGTCTGGAGTGATCCCTCTTGCTCTAATGCACCCCCACAGTCTGAGCACCCACTCACAGCACAGAGGTAGAAAACCGATGAAATCCCTGTTTTAAATGAATCCGTACTTTGTCGGTGGTGACCGCTAGCTTTGAGAGAAAATGAACACCGATGCTGTCAACTGTAGTCAAGATTCAGTGTCAATGAACGAGCTGACCTGTAACAGTGGTGTAGAAGAATCCACTAGAGGGCGCTCATCTGGCTGATGTTAGACATGTAGCCGTGTTATTTAACTGTTCCTGATCTGAATGTGAAAGAAGTTCTGTTTTCAAACAGAGCCTTGAAGACTCGGGGCAACACCCCAAAGTACGGTCTGATTTTCCACTCAACATTCATTGGGCGTGCAGCCGCCAAGAACAAAGGCCGCATCTCCAGGTATCTGGCCAACAAGTGCACCATCGCCTCAAGAATCGACTGTTTTTCTGGTGAGTGGAGCTGCTGGGGCAGGACCAAAGCTTTCTGTCTGATTTGCAATGATGCTCATATTTTTCGTCAACAGCATTCATCCTTCGGGTTGATGTTGAGATAATGTTTTCTGAGCAAGGCTGTCTCGAGTTGGCTCTATTGTGGTCGTCTGCTGGTTTTTCATGGTGTGCATTTTGTTATTGCAGAGGTGCCAACGTGTGTGTTTGGTGACAAGCTGCGTGAACAGGTGGAAGAGCGACTGACGTTCTATGAGACGGGTGAAGTACCGAGGAAGAACGTGGATGTCATGCAGGAGGCTATGAAAGAGGTAAGATGGTGGGACAGAAAAATAGTTTCTTACTGTAAATGATGACCAGTCTTTCCCCGACATCACGATGGGGGTAAAAACTGATTTAATGAGTCTGATGCAGTGTTGCTGGATCTGACGGGACACCCGACAGTCCTATGGCTGTTTTTAATCTCGCTTCCCTTCTGTTTCCGTCAGGCTACGGATGTTGCAACAGAGATCAAACGAAAACTAGAGAAGAAAGAAAAGAAACGCAAGAAGCGTGAGAAGAAGCTGTTGCAACTTGAAGCTAATGGGGAAACGAATAACGGTGAAGCTGAGGTGAGATTTGGTTTTTAGTTTCGCACTCGGCATGTTTTGATTTGAGGCCTGACCTGCACTCGTGGTCTTGTCTCAGTGTACGACATGCAATATGATCATGACTCGGAACCATTGGCTGGTCCCCGTCCGTGGACCTAATCACTGAAGCGAGTCACACACTTTAAACACTAAAGGCAGTTTATCAGTCCTCTGAATGTATGTTTTTGTCTCCAACCAGTTGGAGAATGAAGACACTGACACGCCTGTTAAAAAGAGAAAGAAGCAAGCAGCGGAGGAGGTGGAGGTCCATGCTGAGGAAGGGAACGAAGCAGAGGAGGCTCCATCCAAGAAAAAGAAGAAACGAAAATCTGAGGCAGAGGAAGCCACAGATGCCACCGAGACAGCGAACGCTTCAGCCAAAAAAAAGAAACAAAAGACTGAAACAGAGGAAGAAACCCCAGAGCCCGTTGTGTCTGAGAAGAAAAGGAAGAAAAAATAGGATCTTTATGTTGATCCAGACGTTCTGTACATATTTTTTATTCAGGACTAGTTTATAAATGTATCTTTTGTTCTTGCCCCCTCTAAACTGATTAAACTTTTATAAATAGCCCCTCAAGTCTTCTGTAAATTAATGTCTGATCAAGTAAAACGTTTCCACCTGAAAAGCCTTAAAAATCCCTTCATGTGCAAGTCCTGTGCACGATGCTGTCAAATGATCCGATCTGAAGTGGTTTCAGAGCTCAGCAGGATGATTCAGTGCCACAGGAGCTCAGTTTTCCTGTGAAAGCTCGAACTAAAGTAGTGCAGTGCTTTAACTTGGTCTGATAAACCCTCCAAGATGCCTTGTTTTTGTTTATTACATTTTAAACTTGTATTTCTGTATCTGACTATAAAGACTGATATTTTATTGATTCTGACTTCTGGTTTGAAAATTTTACTCTAGCCTAAAATTGAACATTACATTTTCTTGCCCTTGTTTACCTTCAGAGCCATTTAAACCTTGTGGAAATGTACAATGTGTATGGATGAAAGTTCTGGGTCTGAATTACATGTAAATACTGATGCCCGATCTAAAGAAATGGGATGGCTGCATGGTGGCGCAGTTAGCACTGTTGCCTCGCAGCAAGAAGGTTGCAGGTTCGAAATTCATCTGTGGCCTTTCTGCATTGAGTTCTCCCCATGCATGCGTGGGTTTTCCCCACAGACCACAACATGCCCTAGTTAAAACTTGTATGTTGTTTTGGATAAAAATGTGCCAAATAAACAAATGGTTTGTAGTGTTTAATATGGACAACAAGGGTTAGAATGACATCAAATCCAAGGCCAGGCTGGTCCAACCAACCAACTAGTTAGAAATAAGGAATGAAAGACAAATAGAAGGGTGGAAAAATAAAAATCAGGCTATAGTCACCCTCAGTATAAGGATTCACAGATATGAGTGACTGTTACAAAAACATTTGTTTTCCAAAATAAAAAGGCCTTTGCCGTGAAAATGATGTGTGTAATTCATGTACACCATTCTCCGTTCATGTATGCATAAAATAAAAATCCACATCACAAGATGCTTGTCTTCAAGTATATTCACCAACTTTATCTCCATGTTTTAGATTTCTATCCACAACTTTCCACAATTTTTTTGAAATAAAATGTCCTTCAAAATAAAAACAATGCAGAAAACCACATTTTATGTCCTACCAATACATATATACTGTATAAATACATAAATATATTTTACATACAACAGCCATAAATTTGAAAAGGAGATATACAGAGCAAAGGGGAGAGGGTGGTAGTGTGTTTTGTCCCTCTGATCTTGTCAGGTCTGCAGGTGTGTGCACGCACGTTAACACACACACACACAGATGTAGCCGTTCAGTTGGCCCAGTAAGGCGAGCTGCCGTAGCTCGACTTGTTGACTTGGCTCTTCTGCTGCAGGCTGCTGGACTGGCCTCGCTGGCCTAGGCCACCCTGATGAAAAAAGTAAATATTTATAAAACTCAGACGAACATGAGAATAATTCATAAACGTGAGAAGCATCTGAATGACTCACCTGTCCATCCTGAGCTAGATGGTGGTGCAGCAGCTGTGAGTGAGGTTGCTGGTGAGGCAGGATGTGGAGGAACGGAGCAGGTGCATAGCCTCCAGGAGCTGCTCCAGGGTTCAGAGGCCCTGGACCCCCCAGGGCTGACGGCAGGCTGAAGGGAGGGGGGGTCCCTGCATGGAAACCCTGCTTATCAAAAGACTGAAGATGCAGAGGAAAAAAACATGTTAGCATAAAATAGCAACAACAAAGTGGTAATGAAGACATAAAACTCACCTGGGTCTTATTGTAAACACTTCCACTGATGTCTGGCACTCCGGAGTTACTGGATGTCACTGAGACCCCTGGAAGAAGGAAGAATCAGTGGGATTAACCTCCGTCATGCAGAAGCAGGACACAAATAAATCCTCTAGTTGTCCTACCTTTCCCGGGCCCTGCAGCAGCAGATTTGGCTTGTGCCTGTGAGGAGGAGTTGTACGCTTTACTGTACTCTACTCCAGCTGGCCCGGCTGTCAGCTCCTCATAACCTGCAAAAAGACAGATGACTCTCAAGCACCAACCAGTGCACACTGAACATGACAGTGAAATGTGGGTAGAGCGATTTTGTACCTGAGCTGAAAGTGTGCTGGCCATAACCACTGGGCTGCTGCTGCGCCTGCTGTTGGAACGGGCTGGCTGAGGGGTTTCCCAGACCCAGACCCATACTGTGCTGCTTGGCCGAAGCCGGCCCCGGGCCACCAGGAGGAACGAACACGGTGGGGCCATACTGAAAGGCGGCAGCACTGGGCACGGCACCGGGAACCCCGGGGTAGTACGGCAGGCCCGTGTAGCTGTAGCCGGGAGGCAGGAAGGCCTGCTGGCTGCTGTGGTGCTGCGGCTGGCCCTGAGGCTGGGCCTGAGGAGGCTGAGGCTGGGCCTGGGTCTGTCCTTGGCTTTGGGCCTGAGGAGGCTGTGGGGCAGCCAGGCTGGTGGGGGGTGCTGGGGAGGTGGAGTCGTTTCTACCGAATTTTGTGACTTCACCTGATCAACAGGAGGACACGTTACATGAGAGGAAACATCTGCAAGTGGGTCTTGGAGACAATGAGCTGAAGGTTTAGGTGCTTCACCTGAATAGGGGTTGTTGGCTAAACTCCCATCTCTGCCGGAGAGAGCTGCTGTGGGGCCAGGGAATGTGATACCATAGTAATCCTGCAGAGAGGGCTGAAGGGACAGAAGAGGATAACGAAGCCATGAATGACTTCAAACCAAATCCAGTGAGGGGAATTCAGAGGATTTATGAGTGGAGCTGTATGATGTTCTCATGGTGAGTCAGTGCAGAGCTCGGGGTGGGCCCCATCAAACTGCCCACCCTTCTGCAGAGCACTTCCTCACAGGCAAACAGACTACGGAGCTAGTGAAGTTTGAGTTGCTTTAGGTGGTTGTAATGGAGTTTTTTCTTTTGTTGCTGTTCTGAACAGATGTCTCTAATTTTTCCAACGTGAATTCCCACCAGCATTCCTTTGTTTATTCACTTATTAAGTAAATGACATAGCTCACCATTGGCAGTCTGGACTGGAGCATGTGGAGGTCCTCATAGCCATAGATCTGCTGTCAGACACAAAGGGTAGAAACACACTCAAGACTTTTTCTTCAAAAAGCACCTATGATCTCTGAAAACAGGGAAAGTTAACACTTTAAAGCACATATTTACATAAGTCATGAATCCACGAATAATGCTATACAACATGTAATAAGAACTTTACTTTCAGAAACAAAATCAGAACTTTTTTTTTCAGTCAGAATAAACACATGACCATATATGGTTGGCTCATGAGAGCCACATGGCATTAATGGAAACCTCAATATGAGAGTCAAGCACCTTCTTGTCCAAACTTAAGCTTCTTCCACACTAGCATCAGCTCCCTGTAGCCCACCCCGGCCTGGCACACAAATCAGCGTTTGGGCCGTCTACAAAATTGGAGCCAAGACATCAGTGATGTCATGAGCGCATCTCCGAGCACGTGAGCGGTGCTTCAGTCAGAGCCATGTTTCCTCCTCAGTATCCAGAATGATAATGTGAGAAGCCCCACTGGCTGTTTGAATCCACTCAGCCTAACAGTAGATGTGATTTTGAAAAATATTTTTTTAGTGATTTAAACTTTCAATTAAATATTAAGTAAATTGAATATGTACTCATAATATTACTAATGTTTTTTTATAAATAATAATAATTTATTATAACTACAGTTCACTTCTATAGTTTAGGACAGAGCCCATGATCACTGAAGGTCAACTTCACTCATATTTTAATACATCTGCAGTGGTCTCCTTGTAAGTTGTCCTCTGAGGAAAACAAAGCTCCAGTGCACCTGTTTGAGAAAGTACAAGTCAGCTGGAGGAGAAAGTAGCTTCTGACGACAGGATTTAAGAGTCTTCTTGCCTCACATTGGATAACAGCAACATGACTACCTCTGACACCAACGCTGATGTTTTATCTCCACAAATCACTCAAGCTTGAAGGAGTTCTGGTGTGTGGTATTGTTGCTAATGCTAACAGTTAGCTTCTACTAGTCGAGACGTTATCTGCTGTTTCCTGGACGAGTGGTGAGTCCATGAATCTTAACCCTCTCAGGCTCAAAATAAGTTTTGATGAAAGGACGAACAACTAAGTCCTTCAGGGGTACTTCTGAGTTAAAACATGCTCATGAAATACGTATGTGGAGTAACCAGGTAGGTAGGTTTTAACGTTGCAAATCTGCAACGCCTGCCTCCAGAGGGTTAAATGACAGTTTGAAGTAGAGCTGTCAGGCTTTTGAAATCCTAGAGTTTACCGTCTGTTTTCTATCAGAAGCAAGTGCAGGAGATAGGTGTAGGAGACTATTTTAATGTTCTGCCTGCATTAAAAACTCAGTGACTTGATTATTTTCAAAAATAATAAGTAAAACATGGTTTCTAAGGGAACCTGCTCTTTAAAGGAGATTGTAGATGTTTGGTTCGAGATCATGTTTACTTACTGGGTAAGCTGGCAGCAGCCCTCCTGGGCCCATAATATACTGGTTGGGTAGTAGAGGCGGCACTCCCTGGGACAAGTTAGGAGGAGCTTTACCTGTCAACACAATGTCTGATCATTTTCATTCACCAACAAGTTCAGCTCATTATGAGTAAATATTCCACTTTCTCGAATGTGTGTGTGTGTGTGTGTGTGTGTGTGTGTGTGTGTGTGTGCGCATACCAGTGGAGGAGAGCAGGGGTGTGGTCCTTGGTGCAGAGAGGTTTGATGTGGCAGTAGCTCCATTGGAGCCGAGTCCCAGTGCGGCGCTGGTGGCGATGATAGCAGCAGAGTGGAGTCCACCTGCCCCCGTGATCCCCCCCACTGTGCTGCTCATATTGCTGCCCAGGCTGGCCATGTTGGCCAGGTGGCTGATGCTGCTGCTGCTACTGTTGCTGCTGTTGTGTGCTGAGTGGAGCGACGAGCTTGCGGGCTGAGACGACGTGTAAGAGCTGGACGACGGAGCCAGAGAGCTCATGTTGTTGCTGTCAACACTCGTGTACTGAAATAAATGATTAATTATTTCAAATGGATCTTCACATTTCAGCAAATTATACAAACAACTGAATTTATTGGTCAAATCCCTTATTAACAATAAGATGCTTCTCCAATATATACACATATTAATGCAGTCAGTGAGGTGTGATGGGGGCAGACTGAACCCGTGCTTACAGTGAGAGAGCTTGATCCTAGAGCTGAAACCGAGGAATGGCTGCTGCCATGGCTGTAAGGTGAAGGGGAGCAAAATCATCAGTAAAAGTAGAAAAATAAATACACATATGAGCCTTTTAGTTTGTGTAACCTTGCTTTTTCTCCTAATTACTACAGGACATCACTGATTTCCTCTGCCTTACTAACAACAAACAGGCTCAGGTCCTGACCTGTTGAGTGAGTTGAGCTGACCCGCCGGTGGCAGGTCCTGTGCCAGGTTGGGGAGCGTGGTGGAGCTGAGTGAGGGTAGGTGGGAGGAGGGGGCCGGAGGACCGCTGGTGTTGATGTTCACAGACGGAGATTCTGGCTTCGGTGTAGAAGATGCTGATGAGGCTGAGCAAAGGAATGAAATAACGGGTCAGACACGTTTAGGCTGATCGTGTCCCCGTTTGATGCAGGTTTAGCTGTTCTCGACATTAGCAAAGACCTCATCTCTAGACTATGCGATGAGACATAAATTCGTAGTAACGAGTAACTCACTGTCTAGAGCAGCGGAGGTTCTTACACCATTCAGCCCGTTCTGGTGGGAAAACACAACACCTTTGTGTTAATAGTAAACCACAGCGAATACCAACAGGACACACTACCCACACTAACGCACCATCACTATAACTGCTGCTAATCAGGCTCATCAGTGATGTAAAATACAGAATTTTATTAGGGGGAGAAATAATGTTTCCAAACTGGTTTGAGGAGTTTATAAGTAGAAAAGGCTTCAGTGGAAACCAATTTAATCGTTCCACTTAAACTGAATCAAGATAAAAACTGTTCCTCACCATCACCGGCCCTGTGGCCTCTTTGCTCTGTTGAAAGGCCAGTCGCGCATGGGGGGGTTTCGTCCCATCGTAACTCCCCCCCACAGCAGAGAAGTGGGAGGAGGAGGGCGCGGAGGAAGAGGTCGTTGAGGTTGTCGACGTGGAGGATGGAGGGTTGGCAGAGCCAGCAGAACCTAATGAAGACGTGAGGCTGGGCATGGCCACGGCGGAGGAGTGATACACGGGTTCTGATGATGACAGTGGCGAAGGCAGAGCAACGGAGAGAGGGCTGCCCAGTGAGTCGCTACAGGACAGCAGCAGGAGAGCACAGGTGTTCATGATAAGCAAGAATGACATAACAAAGAACAAGAAACTGCTGTGTTTGAATTAAAAGTGCTTGTGTTAGTTGTACTAGAAAGACAAGACCACTTTTCAAAGCTGTCATTTTGTATTTCTCTCCTCCGTTTGCTGTGTGCTAATGCACGGGGTAGGAGAGAGACAACTGAAGTGACAGGGACTTGTTTTTGGAGAACAAGCCTCCCAGTTGCTGCAGTTCCAACAGATCAAAAAAGACTAACGGTAAGAAAATCAGCAGAAGCTCTCGCCAACCATGCAACGAGCAAACAAAACACAACATTTGATCAATAAATCCTTGTTTACATGGCAGCTGCCCTGAGCTGTAGTGATATCAGTGATCCATCTGCTGAGGTCTAACACCAGTGAGAAGCAGCTGATGGTTTTATATGCCTCCATCCTGTGCTCACGCTGACCTCTAATGCTATTTACATTAACTGCATTAACATCAATGCTAATATAAGTTTGTTTATTCCTTCATTTGTATTGATTGTGAAACACGAGTCTCTGTTTAGAAGCACCTGAGGGGTTTAGAGTACAAGCTGGCGTGGCTTTGGGTCCCTGGTCCTGATGCAGGTGGCACTGAAACAGGCGCCGGTGTGGAATCCCGGGACACTGCGCTCACACAGTTGTCCACACCTCCAAACTCTGGTAGTGCAGACTCTGAGCCAAAGTCCAGAGCTCCAAACTGGAGGTTTAGTCCAGGAACATCAGCCGAGCCTGGCATCTCCACGGCTGTAGAGGGAATCTGCCAAAAGAAGTTTGTTTTTAAATACGCAAGCTCCCACAAGTTTACACCTCCTGACCGTGACTCCCTACCTTGGATGTGGGAGGTATCCGTCGTTTGGGGCCTTTGAGCTGCACCCGTTGCTGCTGTGGCGTACTGCTGCCCTGGGGGTCCAGCCCAGCTCCGGAAGTAGGAGGTTTAACACCAGCAGCAGCCATCACTGGGCCGGCCTGTGCTGGCGTGCTGATGTGCTGGGGAGCAGACGATGCTGAAGCAGAGGGCGCTTGCTGCTGCGATGGAGGACTAGCCTGACGAGCCAGAGGTAAGGAGGGACCTGTGTGTCTCTGAACCAGCTGGCTCAGCACAAGAGAAGGTTCTGGCTGCAGGCCAAACTCACCTGCAGACAGAACAACACAACAGGAATGAGAGCACGTAAACACACACACACACACACACACACACACACACACACAGATCTGCTTACAGCTGAACTGTGTAGACAGAGAGCTGGTGTTCGACTCTGATGCCTTCATGTCCCAGCTGGAGGAGGAGGGTGGAGGTACAGGTGCTCCCAGACCCGGCAGTCGACCGATGGAGGTGTTGCTCCCCTGGGTGCTGACAGGAGGGGCTGCCTGGGATGAGGGCAGCTGGCCTAAGCCAGGACCCTTTAGCTGTTCCAGTATCTGAGCGCCAGCGCTGGGCTGAGACCTTTTGGCCTGGCCCAAGTCCCCAAAGCCAGCTCCCAGAACCGACGACTGGTGTCAGAGAGACAGAAACCATCCATCTTCGTGTTCTATCTGCACTACATAATGCAAAGGAAACAAGCATGTCTTTACCAGAGCAGCGTGTGCATAGCTTGTGCTGCTGGTCGCGTTGCGGCTGGGTGGTGGCTGCTGGTGGTGGTGGGAGTTGGTGAAGACCAGGCTCTGTGTGGAGGTGGAGGAGGGTGGTTCTCTTCCTCCAACACCAGGCTTCTGCAGCAGAGAGGCGAGGTCCAGACTAAGACAAATAAAAACACACTTAGTGAACGCTCCCAATAAACAAGTATCTTTTAGACCCGGCCTGACAGAGCACAGATTCATATTTTACCCCACAGAGGGGCAGGTGCGTACCTTTGCGCAGGTGGGATATGGTTCTCTGCAGCAGGTGCACATGAGGGGGTGAACACTTTGGTCTCTGAGAGCTGATAATACCAAAGGTCCACTGGTTAAACAAAGAGATGCATCTGAAGAAGTGACTTGTTATCCTTCTAATAACTCACACTGACGTCCTCACTCCACTCCTCAGCAGCCCAGTCCTCCAAAGTGCTCCTCCAGGCAACTGAAAGACAAACAACATCCGTTTACCCTCAACTCTGAGCATCATGATCATCAGTAACATACAGGTGCTGGCCAGTAAATTAGAATATCATCAAAAGGTTGAAAATATTTCAGTAATTCCATTCAAAACGTGAAACTTGTACATTATATTCATGCAATGCACACAGACCAATGTATTTCCAATGTTCATTACATTTAAATTTGATATTTATAGGTGACAACCAATGAAAACATCAAATCTGGTATCTCAGAAAATTAGAATATTCTAAAGGCCAATGAAAAAATGTTTGTTTCTCTAATGTTGGCCAACTGAAAAGAATGAACATGAAAAGAATGTGCATGTATAGCACTCAATACTTAGTCGGGGCTCCTTTTGCCTCAATAACTGCAGTAATGCGGCGTGGCATGGACTCAATCAGTCTGTGGCACTGCTCAGGTGTTATGAGAGCCCAGGTTGCTCTGATAGTCGTCTTCAGCTCCTCTGCATTGTTGGGTCTAGCGTATTGCATCCTCCGCTTCACAATACCCCATAGATTTTCTATGGGGTTAAGGTCAGGCGAGTTTGCTGGCCAATCAAGGACAGGGATACCATGGTCCTTGAACCAGGTGCTGGTGGTTTTGGCACTGTGTGCAGGTGCCAAGTCCTGTTGAAAGGTGAAGTCTGCATCCCCATAAAGTTGGTCAGCAGCAGGAAGCATGAAGTGCTCTAAAACTTCCTGGTAGACGGCTGCATTGACCCTGGACCTCAGGAAACAGAGTGGGCCAACACCGGCAGATGACATGGCACCCCACACCATCACTGACGGTGGAAACTTTACACTGGACCTCATGCAACGTGGATTCTGTGCTTCTCCGCTCTTCCTCCAGACTCTGGGTCCTTGATTTCCAAAGGAAATGCAGAACTTGCTTTCATCAGAAAACATAACTTTGGACCACTCAGCATCAGTCCAGTCCTTTTTGTCCTTGGCCCAGGCGAGACGCTTCTTGCGCTGTTTCTTGTTCAAGAGTGGCTTGACACACGGAATGCGACACCTGAATCCCATGTCTTTCATGAGTCTCCTCGTGGTGGTTCTTGAAGCGCTGACTCCAGCTGCAGTCCACTCTTTGTGGATCTCCCCCACATTTTTGAATGGGTTTGTCGTCACAATTCTCTGCAGGGTGCGGTTATCCCTAGAGCTTGTACACTTTTTTCTACCACATTTTTTCCGTCCCTTCGCCTGTCTGTTAATGTGCTTGGACACAGAGCTCTGCGAACAGCCAGCTTCTTTAGCAATCACCTTTTGTGTCTTGCCCTCCTTGTGCAAGGTGTCAATGATTGTCTTTTGGACAGCTGTTAAGTCAGAAGTCTTTCCCATGATTGTGGTGCCTTCAAAACAAGACTGAGGGACCTTTTAAAGGCCTTTGCAGGTGTTTTGAGTAAATCAGCTGATTAGAGTGGCAGCAGGTGTCTTCTATATTCAGCCTTTTCAGAATATTCTAATTTTTTGAGATACCAAATTTGGAGTTTTCATTAGTTGTCACTTATGAATATCAAATTTAAATGTAATGAACATTGGAAATACATTGGTCTGTGTGCATTGCATGAATATAATGTACAAGTTTCACGTTTTGAATGGAATTACTGAAATATTTTCAACCTTTTGATGATATTCTAATTTACTGGCCAGCACCTGTACGTGCACTCCGCAGCGTACCTGTCCCGTCTGTGCTGTTGTTGTTGGCTGTGTCCCAAACCTCCGTTTGTGTGGTCCCAGTTCCAGCCTCTGAGGTGTAGTCAGCGGGGTTGAAAGTCCTGCTCAGGACACAGAAGGGTGAAGGGAGTTCAAAGTTAAATATTTTCCAAATTTTAGAGTTTTATATTAACTGTCCGTTAAGATCAGGAACAACAATCTCAGAATTTGAAGCTTTTCCCCAACATTTACTCTGTGTGTGTCTGTCTGTCTCTGTGTGTGTGTGTGTGTGTGTGTGTGTGTGTGTGTGTGTGTGTGTGTGTGTGTGTGTGTGTGTGTGTGTGTGTGCGCGTGTGTGTGTGTGTGCGCGTGCGTGTGACCAGCTTACCCCATGCCTTGGGCTGAGAACCTGCTCCCCGCTGGTGCTCTACCTCGACCTCGAACTCCTGATCCTGCAGAACGTCATCACCACGGTCAAAAACACTAACTCAGGTACAGTAGTCATATTCAGTAGCTGCAGTGAGGAATCCACTAACCTCTGCTACCTTTAAGCCTCCGACCTCGATCTGACCCTTTATCCACCACTGGTGTCGCCTCCATACCGTTCTCCTCCGGACGCGCTGTCCGTGCACAAATTCAATTAGAAGCTACAAGTGTTTGAATGGAGACAATACAGGAAACTAGATGTGATTTTGTGTTGAGATCAGACTCCTCACCCTGCCCTCTCCGACTTCCCCCTTTGCCTTTACGGTTGGAAGAAGCACGGCCCTTGCTAACCTCACGCTCTCCTTTCTTCTCCCTATTCTCTTTGTTCTCCTTGCTTTCTGATGGTCCCTCTTTCACCAGGGGCTTCTTCTTTCCCACTGTTTCCCATGAGGTCTATACAGAGGACGGAAAAAAAAGCTAAATTAAGTTGTATCAGCACTCTTATTGTACTGATTATAATTGCAGTTGAAGACACCAGTTCTAAAGATTAGATTCATTTACTACCAGACATTACAAAACACTTAACAACAATGGCTCCGTTTGGCGTATAATGTAACTGATAAAAAATTGTTGGGCAGATTTTCTTGATTACATTCTTAATTATTTCTCATGCCATGCATTTTGAATTTAAATGATTGTAATTTGGAGAGTATACCGTGGCACACTGCAGTCCAACGTGGCAGTCAATGTGCAAAAATACCCCGAAAAATTGACATAATTTACTGCTTTTGAATAGCTGTCCACTGAAGTGACCACATGACAGGGCTTAAATGGTCTTTCAATATAATAAGAAAAAGAACACAGGAACATTATATGCATGTCATTAATAAAAACAGAATAATTTCATGTTAAATGCGACCAATCCCACCAAGTTGTGACATCCCAGCAAGACAACCGACAGGATTTTATGTTGAAGAGTGACTAAATGGAGAATGTACCATGTCGGAGGTGCTCTCCAGGAGGAAATTGATGGCTCTGCTAACATCCTCATTACAGTCGTGAAGAGCTACCATACACTCATCTTGATTCTTCCCCGTCACTTCCATCAGCTGCAAAGAGCACAGTTAAACATAAGATTTGATTACTAGTGAGTTACAAAATGACTAAATGTACAAGTCCCAGGAAAACGTACACACATGAATGAGTCTGCGAGTGTTTTTCACCTGATTAACCTTGTCCTCAAAGTCAGCATCATTCGTGTCGTAGATCATCTGGGCAAGTCGGATCTGCTCAGCAGTAGCCTGTACCACAAACACAAGTAGTTATTTGAAAAAAGCAGAATAAAGCAAAGATAACCTGAGTAAACTAAATATGTAGTTTTCAAACGATGATTTCACCATCTTATCTGGAAAGTTTAGTTCTGTTTCATCATCTACACTGGGCATGATCAACACCAGATCTCAAAAAGCAACACATCATTGTGCTGTTTTGAAGAAATTAGAGAATAAGTTAACTCAACACCCCCCGAAGCACTGCTACAGGACTCATTCAGTAAAAAATGTCACGATTCAAAAAAAAGAGTCAGGAGATCAATGAAGTGCAATTAAAGAGACATGGTGGTGGTAGTGTGATGGTCTGGGGCTGCTTTGCTGCTTCAGGACCTGGGGTCTCATTTATCAAACATTGCGTAGAATCCTTACAAAAACCGTACTTAAGTTCAGCAAAAAAATGTACTTACGCCAAGTAGGTTTGTGATCTATCAAACATGGAGTACGCACAGCTGCACGCAATCTCCGCTTCATAAATCAGAAACTATCTAGAATGGTTCTCAGCTGCTTTTTAGTCACATCCTGCCCTCACCACGCCCACTTACTGCCATAAATAGTCAATGCAAAGTGCCTTGTGGATCTCATGCATATACATAAGCCGGACGTTGCAGCGCTCTGCCAATGACGATGGCGACCGTAGATCAAGACAGATCAAGGAAGCGCAATTTTGCAGAAATTGAGGTACCTGTGGGTGAAGGGGAGAAATGAAAGGAAGTGCTTTTGCAAAACAAATAAGAGAAAATCATCAGTGTGGCACAGCGTTGTTGAAGCTGTCCATGCTGTGAATTCTTCAGAGAGATCTGTGGCGGATATAAAAAAAAAAAGATCCAATCGGGATTTGATCCCCAGACTCCCAGGTGAGAGTCACTCGTGCTAACCAGTCAGCCAAACAGAGATCGCCCTTGTCCAAGTGGGCAGGGCGCATGATCAATTGGGTCACAGTGACATGACACACACTGTCACAGACGCATGACATTCTGTCTCAATCTGTCCCTCTGCTGATATTCTGCGCTTCAGGCTGTGTGTGTGTGTGCATGCGCGCGCGCGTGTGTGTGTGTGTGAGACTGTGCGTGCGCGCATGAGAGTGTGCGTGTGGGGGTCTAGTTCTGTGTGAAAACGAAGCAGTACAAGTGATAATGCTGCAGGATTTCATAATTTTATCCTTCTCAGCAGCAGCACTGCAGGTGCTCTCCATGTCCAAAATGTGCGTAAGCAAGGTCCTTAGTCAACTTAAAGTTGCGCACATTTTTCCGCTAAGTTTTCTTTCATAAACCCCAAAGTTTGCGTGGAAAGTTGCTTACGCAGTTTTCCGACACCGTTTTGTGCGTAAGCAAGCTTGATAAATGAGGCCCCGGGATGGTTCGCTGTAATAAAACCATGAATTATGCTCTCTAACAGAAAACCCTGAAGAAGAATGTCTGACCTTTGACCTTAAACATGCAGTTTATGGTGGAACACTTTGCAATCAAAACAATTCTGCATAGACAAGTGGGCTGATGTGAGTCACTCTTTGCTGCTCACTTCAAGCACTTGACAGCAGTTGTTGCCACAAAAGGTGTTAACAGCCAATAATCCAGTTTAGGGGTCAATCACTTCTTCACACATTTAAAATATTGGAATATAACATCATGGATTTAGACAGCTTTGTTTCATTTATAGATGAAATTTTAATTAGAAAAGCGCATTTTGAATTTACTCTGGTTATCTTTGTTTGATACTGATTCAGCCACTGAACATTCAGTGTTTTGGTTGAAACGTCTTACCTGTATCTGTTTCTGTGGTTGCGAGGTGTGAGTAACAGCAGGCAGCACTTTTTCCCGTGGGCCCCGGGCCTTCTCGCTGCCCAGTGAGCTCATCATATACAGTATATACAAAACTCTGTATGTACAAAATAGAAAAACCTACAAAAGCAAAAGAAAAGAAGAACAAAATCATTGACAAGCCCTGCAACCGCCTGACTCCTAACAATGCATGCAAATGAGCAAAAACACTTTCGCACAGAACTGATTAAGTGCTCAATACTAGACTTATGTTTCATGCAGAGTAAAGCCTTACTGCCAAATCATGAATAGAGGCCTTGTAGAGGCTGTAAGATGCACAGTTGGTCAGGTGACGCAACAGCTTTGCTGAAAATCTGGGTCAAGGATGAAGAGCAACCCAGTGTCCTCTTACAAACAGTGCAGACACTACAAACCCCTACCCAACATCTGATCTTGCTCCAGACAAGCTCTCACACAGGTCCTCTAAACACAAAATTAAGCCATTAAAATAATCTGTATTTAATCTAAAAGCCACGTGCAATTTATGTATTGCTGCAGTTGGAGAGCGACACTACATTAGTTTATCACCAACTCTGAATATAAACGATTACAAGAAGCTATGCTACAGAACAGTGTCACACATGCTAAATTATCTGGACAACAACTGGAGCTGTAAACTTAAACCGTGATATCCTAGAGCAGAATAAGTTCAGGTTTCCCCACAGACCCGTTTGTTATGTGTCAGAGAACAATGGCAGTCCAGCTTTATGTGGCTGAGTGACGTGGGCACATATAAAGCTCCTCATTGGCTGGTCAACTGAACAAAGCTACAACACGAGAAGGCATTTAAATTAACGAAAAATAACCAAACCCCAATTTAGAATGAAAACTTAAATTATTTATAAATACAGACTGGCACATTTTAACCTTAATCTGACACGAATGCGCAGCGACAACGCGTGGTTTCACGTAAACAATACCAAAACAATGCAACTCCGTGGGTATTTAAAGCGAAAATTTGGCATTTAGATTAATTTTGAGTAAAAAAAATGCCTGTTGAACTGCAACAATGAACGAGCTCGGGTTGTGTCATTTAACGGGTTTTGGCTGCCTAATTAATAATTATAATTGTATCACTATAGTAATAAAGCTTTGTTTTGGCTCATCTGTGACGCTAGCTTGTTGTTGTTGCGTTAGTTGTATTTATAGTCTGTATAAAATGGGGTTAAGCTTGAAACAAACACAATTTTCTAAATGTCTCAACTAGAGTGACTTTAGCGACTGTCTATTGTTGATACTACCGTCCCCTTTGTCCTCGCTAGCATCAAGTTAGCCGCTTCATGCTAGTCCTGACACTGAACTAACGATGCTATCTAAATCTAGTCCAAGTTGATAGCCAACGACTATCAAACTGTTTCGTATGAGTCTTACGCATATTTAGATGTACGCGGTTATTAAACGATAAGCGCCGTAACATTGATATCGACGTAATCGATACCTAAAGTAAAGGCTAGTCTGCTAACAACAAAGGTGTATCAAATCTAAAGGAAAAAGGCCTCGCAGCGCACAATCCCATCCCGACATTGCTCGCCGGGAATCAAGACAACAGAATTTTTTAGAAGACATCATTCTAAACCCAGTCCAAGCGAAAACAAAGAAGCTAGCGACTAATTGTGCTTCAGCGAACACGCAGTTACGTGTCGAGTTCACTGGGTGTAAAATACTCGGACTAAAGTTGAACAGGATAAGGAAAATGTGTGTTTTTATTACCTGCTAACGCGCTTCACTCGGCCAGCAGCAGACAAGATGGTCACGTGACGTGCTGCCTGCCGCGGCGGTTGGTCCCCTCTTCTAATCAAACTCTCCTCATTAGTAGTTTATGCTTCTCACATCAACATTACATTAACATTTTAAATTACGCCTTTTTATATTTATAATTCTCACAGTAGCAAGACATTAAGAGTATGAGAGGGGTTCCCAATGACAGGGTCGGGGGCCCATTCCAGGACACATTTAAGTGCAAAAGTCTTCCGTCATAATTTTTGTTTGTCTATTATTAGTTTCGGTTTGTTGATGTTCTTGTTTGAGGGCAAATATCTATCTATATACCTATATATATATATATATATATATATATATATATATATATATATATATATATATATATATATATATATATATATATATATCTGCAACATTCAATTCAGTTCAGTTTATATAGCGCCAAATCACGACAAGGGTCATCTCAAGGCACTTCAGTTCAGTTCATTAAGCCAAACCATTGCCAGTCAACTTCAGGGTTCATTTCAAGATCCTGGTTATAGGGCCTTACATGGACAAGCACCATCTTACATTGAGTGCGTTTACATGCAGTCAGTAACCCTTTTAAAACCCGAATATTCACAATAACCCGGTTCCGCAGGTCCTTGTAAACACCGCCAGAAACCCGGATATGCTCATAACCGGGTTTTTAAAAACCCGGTTACTACACCTGGGGTAACGCTTTTCTAACCCGAATGTTTGGTCGTGTAAACGCATACCGGGATATCCCCATCAAAGCGTGTGTTCTGCGCATGCTCTGTTCGCAAGGAATCTTGGTCTTTTGAGTAGCGAGGCGACTTGTATGCGCCAGAACACCGAAAGTAAACAACAAGTTGGGAGCAACATGGCGAGTCGCGGCACAGCTCCACACTTTGAGTGACGAGGAAACTAAAGCGCAAACAAACGCGGTCACTATCTCTTCCGAACTGGGAAAAATGTTGTTGTTTTCACGGATACCGGAACAAGAAGAACCGGAAATTATGCATATTGCGTCTGGACGTAGTCCACACGTCCTGACGCTACCCCAACGTCCGCATTTACATCGGGTTATGCAAGTTAGGGGTAACTCGTACTTGTAAACAGGTTATTCTGATCAACTCAGAAACCCGAATGCCAACCTTAACCCGATCATAACCCGGATATTGGCTGCATTTAAACATACTCACTGGTGATCTTCTTAGTCCCTACACCCCCAGCAGGTCCCTGAGGTCCAGTGATCAAAGCCTACTGGTTGTGCAGCGCACCAGGCTAAAGACCAAAGGTGACAGATCATTTGCTGCTGTGGCCCCCAGACTCTGGAACTCTCTCCCCCTGAGTCTGAGATCAGTGGACTCAGTGGTCTCCTTTAAAAGGCAGCTGAAGACTCACTTGTTCAAGCTGGCTTTTGTATGACCTTCTTCAACCCCTCTCTCTTTATTCTGTTCTCCCCACCTATTCCACCTTCCTCAGGATCCACTGATTTCCCTCTTTCCTATTCACTCTCTCTCTTTCTGGCTGAACGACTCAACTCCTTTTATGCAAGGTTTGAAGTGCAACACCCATCCCCCACACCCCCTACTGCACAGGTTTCTTCAGCCACTCTGGTGTCACATGCCTCCCCCACCACCTTCACCACTGTGAATAGTACAGTCCCCGCTGACCACCCCTCCCCCTCCATTGCCATCTCAGTGAAAGAAAAGGATGTGCCCAGGGTTTTCCGTAAGCAAAACCCTCGGAAATCCCCGGGCCCGGACGGTGTCTCCCCCGCAACCCTGAGACACTGCGCAGAGGTACTGTCTCCAATCTTCACGGACATCTTTACCATCTCCTTGGAGTCCTGCCATGTTCCAGCCTGCTTTAAGCTGTCCACCATTGTTCCTGTGCCTAAGAAACCCCATGTCACTGGACTGAATGATTACAGGCCTGTGGCGCTGACGTCTGTAGTCATGAAGTCTTTTGAGCGCCTGGTCCTCCCTCATCTCAAGTCCTTCACCTCCCCCCTCCTGGACCCTCTGCAGTTCGCATACAGAGCTAATAGGTCTGTATTCGACGCCATCAACCTGGCCCTCCACTTCATCCTGCAGCACCTGGACTCCCCGGGAACCTACGCTAGGATCCTGTTTGTGGACTTCAGCTCTGCGTTCAACTCCATCCTCCCTGCTCTGCTCCAGGACAAGCTCTCCATGCTTAACGTACCCAATTCCACCTGCAGGTGGATCACTGACTTCCTGACGGACTGAAGGCAGTGCGTGCCGCTGGGGAAGAATGTCTCCACCATTCAGACAATTAGCACAGGATCCCCACAGGGCTGTGTACTTTCTCCTCTGCTCTTCTCCCTGTACACAAACTGCTGCACCTCGAGCCATGACTCCGTTAAACTGATCAAGTTTGCGGACGACACCACCCTCGTTGGGCTCATCTCTGACGGTGATGAGTCCGCCTACAGGAGGGAGGTGGAACGGCTGGCGTACTGGTGCAGCAGCAACAACCTGGAGCTCAATGCTCAGAAGACAGTGGAGATGATTGTGGACTTCAGGAAAGTCACAGCCCCATCTCTCCCCCTCGTCCTGACGGACACCCCCATCACCACTGTGGACTCCATCCGCTTCCTCGGAACCACCATCACACATGACCTTAGGTGGGAGCCATCCATCAGCTCCCTGATCAAAAAGGCCCAGCAGAGGATGTACTTTCTGCGGCAGTTGAAAAAGGCCAAGCTGCCAGCCCAGATGATGGTGCAGTTTTACACAGCCATCATTGAGTCCATCCTCACCTCCTCCATCACTGTGTGGTACGCTGGAGCCACGGTGAGGGACAAACATAGACTGCAGCGCATTGTGCGCTCCGCTGAGAAGGTGATTGGCTGCAGCCTTCCGTCTCTCCAGGACCTGTACGTCTCCAGAACTCGGAGGCGTGCAGGCCGGATTGCAGCTGACCCTTCTCACCCGGGACACAGACTTTTCGAGCCGCTTCCCTCAGGCAGGAGGTTACGGTCCATCCAGACCAGAACCTCCCGCCATAAGAACAGCTTCTTTCCATCTGCCGTTAGACTTGTAAATAGCTTATAATCACACAACCATGCTCGTCTTCTGTACTCGACACTACGTCACGTTATCGGCCATGTTACCACTATCTGCCTTTTTTATAGCTGAATGTTTTATGCTAGTTTTATTATATTTTCTTCTACTTATTCTATTTCTGAAATTTATTATTCATGTTATATGTAGCACATTAGTACCGAAACAAGTTCCTAGTTTGTGAACTGCTTGTTCATTGACAATGGCAATAAACCTTTTCTGATTCTGATTCTGATTCTGATTCTTAACATTTTTTCTTTTAAATCCCAATTGTCTATTTTTGCTCATTTTAAATATATTTTTAAACATTTTCTAAATGCTTTTTTATATTTTTACTTTTTTTGTTTTTGTGAAGCGCCTCGTGATTTTTATCTTGAGAGGCGCTATAGAATTATATTTTCTTCTTCTTCTTCTTCTTTTTCCAATCATTAAAATGTTTCCTGTATAAGGAACCCAGCAGATTGTATCAAATCACTGACTGGTGTCAGTGTCTTTACAGCAATCCTCATAAATACAAGCATGTAGCAACAGTGGAGAGGAAAACTTCCTTTTAACAGGAAGAAACCTCCAGAGGATCCTGGCTCAGTATGAGCAGCCATCCGCCACGACTCACTGGGGATCGAGAAGACAGAGCACACACACACACACACACACACACACACACACACACACACACACACACACACACACACACACACACACACACACACACACACACACACACACACACACACACACACACGCACACACGCGCACACACAGAACTTTGTGGGAAACTCATGTCGGACATCATAGTGACTAACATGTGGGCACATGGATTGATACATGAGCAGGGGTGGATTGGCCATCTGGCATACACTTTTGGGCCATTAGCCAAAATGAGCCAGTGCACCGCTCACCCCACTCAGACAGCCAGTGGCACGGAGACTTGTCTGAAACTATACCTCCCCACCCCCTGCTCTCAGGGCCGGCACGACTGAGAAATGCCAGGGCTGAATTTTCATTCTTGTCCAGGCCTGTATATGAGCACGGAACAAAAGGGCACTGGCAGAGATACCAGAGAGGCCAAACACAAGCTCCTGATAGATTGAACAGTCACCCAACACACCAACCATGTGCACAGCCTGGATTGGCTGCAAGAAAGCATATGACTCAATGCTGCACACATGGATCATTGCATGCTTGGAGCTGTACAACATCAACAGGAGCGAACCTTTATTGCAAACTCAATGGGGCTGCGGAAAACCACCCTTGAGGCCAATTGCACAAGTCTCCATCAAATGTGGCATATACCAAGGAGACGCCCTGTTCCCTCAGCTGATCTGCATAGGTCTGAACACCCTCAGCCAAATAATCAACAAGACTGGCTATGGATACTGACTCAAGAATGGATCCTCAATCATTCTTCTCTACATTGATGACATAAAGTTGTACCCCATGAGCGAGCGAGACATCGACTCACTGATCCACACCACCAAAGAAAGAGAAGGTAGTCTACACAGAAGGGATCTTACTCCAAGAAGGAACAATAACAGACATTGAGGGCAGATACAAACGTACCTTGGTATCCCACAAGCAAATTGCAACCTCGATGAGGCCACAAGGAAAGGAGCCACAGCTAAATATCTACAACAAGTAAGGCAAGTCCTAAGAAATCAGCTCAATGGCAAGAACAAGATCCAGGCAATAAACAGCTACGCCCTGCCAGTAATCAGATATCCTGCAGGAATAATAAGCATGCCAAAGGAAGAAATACATACCACAGATGTTAAGACATGAAAGCTCCTAACCATGCATGGAGAGTTCCATCCCAAGTCCAACACACTGAGACTGTACACTATAGCCGTAAGGAAGGAGGCCGAGGAATCCAATCCAGATTTATTTGTATAGCACATTTATCAACAGCATGACAGCTGACCAAACTGCTGGACACACAATAAAAGGTAGTAACAAGATAAAATAGTCGGATCAAGAGGTAAAAAAATGAACTGAGTAAAACAATGCAAGGGAAATATCTTAGCTATTACAATGCAAGGGTAATAGCTAAGAAAATCAACTACAAAAGTGCAAAAACAACAGAGAATTTAAAATGAGAGAACAAAAGTACAAAATTATGACAATTGTAAACAATCACACCAGCTACAGTCCTGTCCATAGGATCAAGTACCAAAAGCATTAGTGAAGTAATGGGTCTTGAGACCGGATTGAAACAGATCGATAGATGGGGCTGAACGAACCAAGCTATTCCAAATCTTCTATGCTGCATGAACAAACGCACGTTCACCACAAGTCTTGCACCAAATTTTTGGAACACACAGCAAGAGTTGATCAGCTGAGCGAAGAGACCTTAAAGGGCACACAAGAATAGAGGAGTTCTGCTACATAACCAGGAGCCATGTTATGTTCGATTTTGCGAGTAAATAGAATAAATTTGAATATAACCCTGTAAATCACTGGGAGCCAGTGCAGCTCAGCTAGAACTGGGGTGATGTGACAAGATGTCTTTGTTCTAAGTGAGTGAGAGCCACTGTCCAAGATAAACATTCAAAAATCACTGTGGGTTTTAAATGAGTGTTAACAGTTTATTCTAAATAACAAGAAAGCCAAAACACCTTCACTTATACAAACTAATTTCCAAATCTCAACAAATCTATTTTAATTGTCTGCGCTCAACAAGATTAAAGGTGTAGTTCAATGAAAAAACATTTTTTAAACGTTTATTCTGATTATAATTGGTCAGTCCAGTTTTTCATGCAGGCTGAACATGAAAATAGTCTCCTACACCTATCTTCTGCGTTAGCTTCTAATACCGTTTAGGAGCCTGACATCACTCTGTCACTTAACGTCCATGGACTCACCCATCTTGACTCATAATGGGTGAGTCCTCATGATGGGGAAGGCTGGTGTTGGTTTAGCATCCAGGAACAAATCTAGTAGCAGAAGCTAACTTTTAGCATTAGCAACTCCACCACATGGCACAACTTCTCCAGGCTTGTGTTGTAAAATACTGGCAGGGAAAGCATACATGGAACACCACAAGCAAGTACATAGTACATAGTGTACAGAAACATTTGCGCAGAGTATGGACTGGAAGCCCCAAGGTCAAAGTGGGCAACATCCCCTAAGATGGTAGAAAACGTGCAAGCCAAGATCCTGTGGGACTTCCAGATCCAGATAGACAAAATGGTGAACCAATCGGACATTGTGGTGGTGCACAAACAACAGAAGACAGCTGTTGTGGTTGATGTGGCAATACCAAGTCATGGCAATATCAGGAAAAAGGAAACTGAGAAACTAGAGAAGTACCAAGGCCTCAAAGAATAATTTGAGAAAACCTGGAGAGTGAAGACATTGGTGGTACTCGTGGTCATTGGGGCAGTAACCCCCAAACTGGAAGTGGCTAAAGCAGATCCCAGGAAAAACATCAGACATCTCAGTCCAACAAAGTGCAGTTCTAGGAACAGCTAAGATGCTGCGCAGAACCCTCAAGCTGCCAGGCTTCTGGTAGAGGACCCGAGCTTGGGAGGATGAGACCACCCGCGGAGGGTGGGATGGGAATTTTTATCCGAGCTGGTAGAAGGAATATAAAACAATTCTATGGATTAGAAACAAATAGTTTTGTGTTCATTAGTGAGTGAAGCAATATACATTTAAACTAATGCTACAAACACACTTCTCTTACATCAATATACATTTTATTTTTGTGTTATTTACTCCTTTTTCAAAGAATTATACATTTCCCCAGGTGGTATCTTACAATGTTCTGTTGCAGTCATTGGTATAAACATTCAGGGGTGTGTATAAAAAGAAAAGTATCACCAAGTAGACCGATCAATCCAAACACTTTCTCATACGCATACATAAAAATGTATGAAATTGTCCTTATGCATATTACAGACATACACATTTATTTAGAAAATCCACTAAAGCGTTTTTTTTTATATGTGGTCAGAATTGATATTTTTGTCAAATAATCATTAAAACTGGAGAAAAGTTCCATGTAGAAAAGGAAAACAATGATCAACTGTGGTAGTCTTTCACGGAAAGACAAAGAAGGCAAAGCTAGCTTAAGCCAACCCTGCTGCTGTCGAACAAAAAAAGCACAATCACTCACTCCTTATTTAAAAAAAGAATCAAAACAAGGGCACAAGCGTGTCTAGATGAAACAGGAAGTGTTTGTATCTTCAGCATTTATCTCCATCATTTTCATGAAATTACATCTCTTAGATCAGAGTGAGCTACTAGACTGTTTTGTTGGATGGCTCTCACTTCAGTTCAGTGATCACATCATTGTAGGGGATACATAACCTGCAACCTTAAAATCAAAGAATAAACTCACTAGTAACAACAGAATACTAGCAAACACACAAAGCAGATGAACACTCCTGGCCAATTAAAGCTTACAGGGCAGGGAAAATAAATACAAATAAAGCTTAACAGAACTTCAGCAGGGGTCAGATTACAGTAAAAATACCATCATCATGAAGTCAAGGGAGAGCATCAGCGCTGCATTTATCAATCCCAATGTTTTCTTTGCACCACTCTGAGGGTAGGCTGAAAACAGGATAACTCTGAAACCTCTTCCTTGTCCAGCTGGTAAATATCCTCAATCCAAGGTCAAACATTCCTCAACAGTCTTCCTTCCACTCTCCACCACTTTTCCAGGTTTTTGTGAGAAATTTTTAAAATTTTAGTGAATTTCACAGCCACTCACCCTAAAAACACTCATTTATCACAAAGGGAGCAGCAGTTAACACAATGTTTGTGTACAAGAAACAAGCAACTCAAAGAATGCAGCCTAATCCCTGCAGATTGGATGAATGGAAAACAAATAAATTATGTGAACATGTAGACATTTATTCTTAATCCTAATTGATCCAAAGTTTCTCAGTGGCAGACTTTGCAGCTTTTTAAATGATCATTATACATTTACATATTTATATATGTTTAAATTAATCAAGAAGTTGGAGAGAAAAGATGTAAAGGGTATAATTTGATGAAAAGGAAGAGCGTAAAAAAAGATCAGAAATATCCCAAACAAAACTGCAAGTTGGGAGAAATCATGCTCCTGAGTCCACGAGAGGAAAAGTTGATTAGGTTGATGTCAAAAACCAGTTGTGAGTGAAGCTGATATGGGAGAAGGATGGAGGGACTGGTGAATCAGTGAGTAACTGAATGAAGGTGTGAAAACTGATGAAGGAAGAGGCTAGCTCCACAGTCCGGCGTAGTTGCCGTGCAGGCCGGAGCAGAGCGGGCCGCCGGCTACGAACAGCTTGGTACCAGACTCGTCATAGCAGTGGGTGTACACCGCGTTGGGGAAGGAATGAATGTCTGAAAAGTAACTCCTCCACGTCTCATCGTGATTCTGAAAACAGGAAAGGGGGGTGGGAGCTTATTCTGTTATTCTTTAATTCTCCACTTCTGTTAAAATTTGAACAATAAATAATTAAATTTACCAGCCAGCCTTTCCCTGTAGCAAGCTTAAGGAAGCTATCTCCAGGGCATTTCCGATACACACCAGCTGGATTAAAAGGATCTTCCAGGAATCTTTGAGCCCGGATATCATAGAAGAGAAGAGAACCATGACCCGTTCCCACTGTCACTATGTGCTCATAGAAGCTCACCGAGCGGATCCCTGCACAAAGAGAAGTCAGAGTGTTGGAACAAAGATAAAACTAAACACGTTTGGGTTTGTCCCTTGTGCTGCCAAACTTAAAATCTATTTGGAAATCAGACACATGGCCTCTACTCTTTCCTGGTGAAACCACCACTCTTAACTCTATTTTACATAGAAACTTCAAAGCTCACTTACCACTTCCTCTTTCTCTGGAATTAACAGACTTGATGGTGTTTGGTGGTTGCCGTGGATCCAGAAAGGAAACGTGGGCCTGGGAGCCCACGGCGTACACTGACCACTCCTGTCCATACGCCAGACAAACGTTCTCTTTGCAGTAAGGCAGCTTGGTGGACAGCAACTAGAGATAAACACAGGGTGTGATATTAGTCAGAGGTTTTAATCCTTCTTACTGGGCAGAGGAGAACACAGACATATGTCTGTCCTATACCTTGTACAAGCTGTGTTCTGCTTTCCAGAGGTGAAAATAACCATCCAGGGACACAGCACCCAGTTCCTAAAAGGGAAAAGCAACACAGGAAGTTGAGATTGTGGGAAAAGGGGACAAACAAATCCCTCACTGTCTATTTTACGGTTTAGGTCATCGGCACAGTGACATAAGAACATGAAACTAAGGGTTTGTGGAGAAAAGAGAAAAACATGCCTTTGAAACATGATAATGCAGAAAATCATTCTGTTTCTGCAACTAAAATCTCAGTTTTATCAGCTTCAGATGATTCAACAAAAGGGCAATTGAAACTGGAGCCTTACTTTATGGCTGTTATTGAAGGCCAGAGCACGGACTTTACAGTTGTACGGGTTGGTGTACTCCTTGGGGATGTCCTTGAGGGCCCGGTGGGAGATATGAGCGTAGGATGGCACCGTCTCTTCACTCTGACTCCTCTCAGCCTGACTCAACACTTCCTCTGTAATCTCCCACAGGCCCATAGAACCATCTCTGGACCCTTACGTTTAAAACACACATGAATAGGTTATCAATACAACCCACATTTACATCGATGGAGGTTAAAACATGACTAAATTGTATTTATGTATAAGATGTGCACATCTCATGTAACCCACCAGAAACGGCCATGTTGTCACTGATCCATGCTATAGAGAAAATCCAGTCATTATGACCGTCCTAAAAGAAAAATGAAACAGATTGTTCAGTAAACCTCCAGAGGAATTATTTTATTTAAGGTTAGAAATAAAAACTTACATCTCCAACACAAACAGGATCGAGGGTGGGCAGCTGGTAGATGGCCAGGCTGTTGGGGTTATCTCCTCCTGTGGCAAGCATCGTTTTTGAGGGATTGAGTTCAATTGCATGGATTCCACATCCCTGCTGGTCGTGACGAGTACGAGAGCTTCCTGTCGGGTGATAATGCCCTAAAGCCAGAGTTGCACCAACAACCCCAGAGCCTCCATTGCTACACACTCTGTCCGTCAGCATTGGGATGCGAGTTATGTGTCCTGTCAGGACATCAACTACAAAAAGCTGAGGGAAAAAAAAGAGAATGTGAAACTCATCAGCCCAAAAACAAGTCAGGGGAAAAATAATGACATCAAAATTAATAAATCAGCACTGAACTTGTGCACAAGACAGTGAATCATATAATCACCGTATAATCATAGATTATATAACTCCTCAGTTTAACTGGTACTGGCATTATCCTGTTACACAATAACATCAATGCAAAATTCAGTATGTGTACATTAGTGTTTATTAGTATGTCTGTGTCCCTTATGCTGCATAATTCTGGAAACACAAGTTTCCTTTTATTCGTTGTTTTTAGTGGTTGAAGGTTAAAATAATAACTTACGGCATTCGTGTGTTTACCTGTGATCTTATGATTTTTCTTTTTCCTTTTCTCTAAGTGTATGTGCTGCTGTAACAAGTGAAGTTCCCCAATGTGGGATTAATAAAGTCTATTCTATTCCAATAAACAAAATAATGACAAGAGTGCTAAAATAAACAATGAACAGTCGTTAAAAAGTATTACACAATTGTTATTTTGAACTTGCATCAAAGGAAATAAGCTCCACCATAAAACATGGGCATCAAATTGATTTTAAGCTTCTTTTTAAATAATAAATGACTTAATACAAAACTTGAGGGAAAGAATTCTTTATGTCTTCTATTTTTTTGTCAGAAAAATATCTTAAAACATCTTGAATCATAGTCTTAAAATGCTTAATCTAATACTTTGCAAAACGTGGTTAATCAGAATCAATCAAAAATGCCATATACTGAATATTATAAGCTTTCAAATGTATTTAAGGTGATAACTTTTCATAAGCCGGTTGAAATATTCTAATAACTGGGTCTAGCACTTTCAGAAAATTATTCAAATCCAGACAGACTTACTAATTTAGCAGATGATTACATCAGATGTTACAAATGTATGAAAAGGTCTCAGTGACAGTTTAAAGGCATCTCACCGTGTTACACTTAGTCCCACATACCACCTGCCGGTGGCTGAGCCACTGCGACGCAAACACCTTGTTGAGTCTTCCCAGTGAAAATTCCTTCTCTTTGAGGATCCCAGGTAGCCTGCCTGCTGCAAAGCCACGCAGGCTCCGTTGGAACCGCAACTCATGCTGCTGCTGAGGTCTGAACTCACGCCCGCGGAGGGCACACACGACAGAGCTCTGACTGCACAACCACTGCTGGGCGTGCCGAGATGAACAAGAAACACGGCTCCGCTTGTGTGGTGCCTGACTCCAGCCCAGCTGTGGAAATAGGACAGGAAAACGGTTCAAGTATTTAAAGAGAAACAGATCGCTGAAGAATGTAAAACAGCATATGTGCTTTATCAGTGTTGCTGTTTCAGTCTGTGCTACTCTGTACCTTAGCCCAACAGAACCAAGAAAACATTGCTCACTGACACAGACTAAAGAGTTTTTCCAGATTATAAGAGGTGCAATAAAAGCACACACATGCACACTGCCAAGGTTAATGCTTATTAAGTATATTTTTAAATCATGAAATAAGATAATACACAGGACCTGCTTTAGGTTATAATATAAAAAAAATTTAATTTCCACATCCCTAAAAATACAATAACAAAAACAGTTGGTAGAACAGCTCACTTTTACAATAATCAGGTGCATTATTCAAATTTTCATACTATAGTTTGATACAATATGCTAAACCGTTTTTTCTTCTTTATAGCAAGTACACAAATATTAAATATGGGAGGACATTTTTGTTTTAACCAATAAACTCACAAACTATAAAAATCATTTAATTTTGATTTACAGTAAAATAAAACAAATTTAAAAGGAATCTATTTTCCCCTTAACTGTTTCAGGCTCGTGAAGAACATTTGAACAGATCTGAGTGTTGAAAGGTTATGATTTTATAATTTCCTGAATTTTTAAGATTTCTTTTAGGCAACAATTAGCCTGAAAATCAGTTTGGCGCATCAAGGTGGCATTCATACGAAAACAGAGTTGAATCATTTGAATTGGACGAGTTCGAGTAGGGACATACCTAAAACATGTGAAAAAGTGTGATCCCTCACCACAGACCTTCCCCCAGACAGACAGACAGATAGATAGGGGCATTGCTGTAAAATATTCAGATTGTAATTTTGATCAGGCCTAAATGTAACTGGCAAACCAGCGTGATATATTTTGGCTAACTCTGCAGGTTAGACATTTGTTTGACGTCGTTCTCATTGAAACGGTGATAACGTTGCCTCCAGTCAGGCAAATGGCTGCTAGTTTCATTCACCCGCATGCAACGATGTTATTAAAATATAGTTACAATGAATAATGACATAGCGCACCCAGCGGGTAGCTCTTAGCTGTCGTTAGATAACGCGTTGCCGTTGGCTAACGTCATGCTAACATTAAATGGTTATTGCTTTCAAATGTAGCCATTCGTTTATTAGCTGAATTAGCTGGCGTTTGGACCATCGTTTGGTCGTTTTAAAACACCGGACAATTATTTACATATAAATCAGATATTATGATAGCCTGTAGGTGCTAACTCGGGCTAGCACCGTGTTAGTTGGAATGCTAATACAACCGGTTTCCGCCTACCTGTTGTTGGTCCTTTGGCTCTCCTGCCTTCCTTTTCCTGCTAACTGTTTTTCTCGCCATAATCTGACACACACAGCTCCCTCACCCACATGGAGGGTAAAAGTAACGCTGGACACTGGATCATATAATGGCGATTTGGTAGTTTGTTCCTTGGCCCTCGATGGCAGTGTCCGACAAGGAAGGGCGATCACATTCGGATAAGGTTGGTCAGCTGAAGGCAGTGAAGTTAGCTTGCTATATTCCCAGATAAATTATACAAAAGTTGGGTTGTAAAAAATAAATTCCGACAAATTCACTAAAGGACGTAAACACTCTTTTTTTCTTAAGCTAAATCGCGGCTAACGATAACGGCAAATGCACCCGGCAGTGCGCAGCCGCACGCAAATTAGCATCAACAAAAACAAGGTCGTACGTGAACGAGGACGTCATGCGTGCTCGTTCACATCAATTGTGTTTTTTTTTCAGCACCATCTCAGATTTAACTATTCTACAACATAAACACTCATTTGTGCGGGTGTACACTTTAATAAACCGTATATATCTTTTATATGAATAATTAGGACAGTTAAAGGGTTGGGGTAATTTAACTTCTTCAGCATTAAGAGCTATTTCACCAGAATGTGCTTTTGTTATTGCAAAAATTGTGAATTGCCCATTCCAGTGCTAATATCATTTGTTATTTCAAATTAAAAAGAAAATACGGTAAAGTTAAGATAACCTTGCGTTTTTCATCTTTTTGCGTTGCAAGGTGAATTCTCGCGAGATTTGGTCGATTAAGATATCGTGTTAGAGTTCATACTTGTTTAATTTGTAGTTTGAATTTTGGTGCCTCTTAGCAACCGAAACACATCCTCACATGCTTGTGGATATAATATATTGTATATGAAGATATGACTATAATAATAAGTAAAGGTTATCAGCTGTAGTTTTAGTGTGCTCGTAGGAAACGCGAGAAAATAACACATTAACACAAATAACACATTAATGAATGAATTGCATAAACGCCGACTTTCAGCCACTCCCCCAGCTGCGTGCGTTTGCTCTCGTGTGCTTTCTAGGCGAGGCGCTGCTCAACTTGAAAAAGACCCTTCTCTCGGCCGCCTTGATCTCACGAGGATATCGTTGCCTACGTATGCATGACGTCAGAGCAAATCGGCATCAAGTCGGACAACCGGGTGTTGCGGCGAACATCGGTGATCTAATCTGCGCAGACCTGGCTCAACTCGAACAAGGCCAATATGTGGATTCGACACGGGGCAGGGCAACACATCTGACGACCAGTTTGCGGTTAAAAAATTTCTTTTGCAACTTTACAATATTCATGTAGCCCCAAACCATGACAGCACCTCCTCTGTGTTTTGCAACTCTCTATAATTCTAAAGCTATTTATTTTGAATCACTTCTTTACTACTTTAAATCACTTCAGAACTTGAAAAATATTTCTCTACAAAACTGGATGTTTCTAAATAACGTCCATATTATGGACCCCAACTGGCTATAAGAAGTATATAAAACAATTGCCACAAAATATCACATAACTACTGGATCACTGGATTCTATTGTATGAGAACTAAAATATAACTCTTAAATCTGAAATTATGCAATTGGTGAGCACCATGTAGGATTTTAGTGAGACTTGTTTGAAGTTGCATTACATGACTTGACATTTTTCTGAAAGACCAGACCACAATCAGGCTGTAAATGGCCTCAGCCTGTTTTTCTTTTTTTTTTTATCTTTTCTGCTGACTAGGCCTTGCAGTAGGATGTTTCTAGGTGTGAAGGACAAAACCTAAATGGACAATCTGTTTTGTCACCTGAATAGAAAGAAAATTAACACATCTGCATGAAGGGAAGTTAAGAGGAATTTGTACTTATCTGCAGTTCTTATCCAATGCATTTGTTGTAAAATTAAAATGGTCTTAAGAAGGGAAAAGAGCAGCTCACCTAAAAAGATTAGCACAAAATAATTTATGAAGAAACTGAACATTATATAAAACAAAAACCAGGAAAGAACACTGAATGCCCACCATTGACCATTTTAGTCAAATCTTTTGAATTGGATTGGAATAATTTTGTTCTGACCTAGAATTGACTAAAAGCGCATTTTATTAGAATAGGACTAAACTGGATACAGACATCTGTCAAAACCATCAACATTTGGTGAAAACTGAATCCGAGTTACTTTGTAGACCATAATACCACTTATGTGTTTTTGTTAGGCAAGTTTACTTTTTATATTGCAACAGAGAAATAAAGGCAGTTTCAACAAAATCACATCATGTCAGACTTTAAAGTGCAGAAGGAACTTGACTCAAGTCTGACATCTTCATCAAGGCTTGTTTAGTCACCTGCACTTGGGGATGTTGCATGCATGCATGTGTATTTTTGGAAGTTAATTTAGTGTAAATGTCTAATTTTTGTAATTCAGATTAAAACTGAAATTTTAAAGAAACTTGAAAACCTCTGGTTGCTCTCAAATGGTGGAGCGGAGATAGTTCTTGCATTTGAACATCAACTAAAAACGGCAACATCAGTGTACCGGTGGTGTAAAAATGTGAAGCTAAAATACTGTTTAGAAGTGCTGCCATTTTGCAAATTTGGAGCCAGAGTATGTACACAAAAGCCAAGGTGTTTTTTTATGCGTCAAATAAATTCTGACAACACATAAGATAAAAACGAGCATCTAAACATACCGCAGAAAGATAACTATATAAATAAACAGGTTTTAAAGTTTGGAGAAACTTAGATCTGAGTTTTTTTAAAATGAATCTATCAGGAAAATGTCCTTGTTTCCTTGGAGGTGGCGGGGCTTCACACTTTTATGAAACCAGCCACAAGGGGGAGCCCCTTTCCTTTTGGCTTCAATTACCACCTTACATTCCTGTTTAAGATGGGGCCGATTTGAACAGGCAGCTTAATCTGTTAACATGCCCTTTTATAGAAGTTTCCACCTGCTGCACCTGAGAGGACATGCATTTAACAGACAGCACTCCGAAGATCCCCTTTCAGCCAATGGATCCCTCCTTTAAAAGTGTTCCAAATAAAGTGGAAGTGTTTCATGTATCTTTAAATTTCTATTTAGAAAAATGAGATGTCCACCAAGAGTCGAATCAAAACACACAAACAGGACAAAATGGCAAATCTGTTATCTTGGTTTGATTAGATTTTGCAGTAGGGAATCCAATAATGATAAAAACAAAAAAACATTTTCCAACCAAATTCCAAAACAAGACTGGAAGACAATTATTTTCCTTCCAACATTTTTTGAGGCTCAAAGTGCCAGTCGACAGTTATACAACTAGAAATGTCTATTGCACAGCGACAAGGCTGAATAATCATGTACATTTATCTTTTGTTTTCACCTCTTAAATTTTCCAGTCCGCAAACATGTTACAGCCTCACATTTGTAAGTGAACACATCTTATATTAATAAATCACTCTTAATTCTTAAATCAAAGTGTCAGTGTACTGTTTTAAATAAAAATGTGGATTATGAAACATTTGTGCCTGACAGATCAGTGACAGTGGGTCATGGAATACTTTTTAAATTCTCCCTAAAGGAACTCTTCCCGTCTCTCCCAACTGTAGCAGGCAACTCCAGTGCAGGCTCAAGAGTACGACAGGGCATAGGTACTCTCTTTATTCTGAGTTATCATGACTAATGATCGATTCTGCAATTCCTAAAACAGAAAGCAAAGAAATGAAACCTTTAAATCGACACAACAAAGTGTCCAAAGTTAACAGAAAATAAGACGTTAATAGAAGAAAGCATGGCGTGCAACAGAAATAGGTCCTGGGCACAACAGCTCAGAGGGCACTTCTTCAGTCAGCTGTGTGGGGTGGCTGCGCCTTTTGATTTCCACCATTACTGTAAGTCACTTCAGAGAGTTCCTCTTGTCTTCATTTACCACCACCATTATTAGATCTGCAACCAAAAGCTGAAGATGGCAGCTTCGTTTGGGAGTTTTTAAAAGTCAATGCAAGTCTTTCAATGAAACACACCCATCTTACCGCCACCCCCCGACCCCCCCCCCCCCCCCCCCCCTGCAGTTTCACCTGCATTCAGATAACACACTTCCAAGAGGAAGCAAAATACAATGGCATCAGAACGCCACGGCCCACATCTTCCAGTCCCTCCTCCCCATCTTGGCCGTTCCTCCTACTCGTCATCGGCAGTCCCCGAAACCCATCAATTATTGTTATAGTTTAACCCAATCCAATCTAGGCACATACACTTTCAAGAGTGCTGAGACAAAGTATATTTCAGCACAAAGAGAATGTCTCCCAGCTGTCCTTTCCACAGCCAAAGGGTAGGGCATTGAGATAAGAGGGGAAAAGGGGGCTGCAGGGTGGTAGAGGTTTGGTTAGCAGTCTGGCAGGCTGGGATCAGCTAGCAGCAGCACGGGCCATCAGATCCTCCAGAGCCTTTTCCTGATCATTGTTGTGGACTAGCAGCACCTCCTTGATGGCATCACGCTCAAATCCCATTTCGCCAAACCTCGACACGAGCTCAAGATGCTGCAAGGCCTGGTGACGAAAAGACAAATCTAAATGTGGCAAAAATTAATAAATGAATTCCATCAAGCTTCTTCTTTATTACATTCAATGATGTACAGACCTTTTCCTCTGAGCACTGGTACATGTCTAAACATTCTTCCACTGCACTTGCATCAAAGCCCCGCTCACACAGTCGACCATGAACAAACAGATAGTCCAGTACCTTGGACATACAGCAAGTACATGTTAACACACTGGTAGAAACAGCTTCTCTTGAAGAGATTAGATTGTTTCGAGTACAAATGATGCCATGTTGTGTGGAGTTGCCCAACTCTGTATGTCACGGATTACTTGGCAAATCCATCATATGCAAAGTAGTAGGGTTTATACAATTTTAAGACCAGACATCTTTATTTACTTCATCCATTCATGGTTGTTTTTGTTTTTAAGGAATCTGATCAACTCTCACAACATTTCAGAAAACAAACTATGTGATTTAAGACCTTTATTTGAGTCTAAGGTGATATTTAGGCATATTAGTAATGAAGATTTCTGTGCTTTGTGGTGATCTGGAGTCCAACCTGCTCCACATTCTGCCCTTGTCTCTGCATCGCCCGTAGAACTTCCTCGTATGAGTAGCCCATGCCCACAAGGGTTTCCACACACTGACGCTCACTGGGTGTCATACTGAGAAGAGCTCCACCACACGGCAGACCAGAGGATCCTGAGCCAGGGTTGTTCTGATGAAAGGTGGTGAGAGTATGTTAATGTTATGTACCGTTTCTGTTAATCCTCCACACTCTACAATGTAGCGTGTTTTCTTACCAGCTTTGCTGCGCTGCTCTTGTTGTGGCTGGGGGAATCAGAAGCGACAATAACTTGCGTTTTTGGTAGGGTTGGCAGGCTGCCTTCTGGCAAGTTCTGTCTGGGTGCATGAATGGATGCCGGGACAGGACAGTACTTAACCGGCTCTGGGTCGCCAGAATCAGAGAGCTTGGGAAAAGTCAGTGAGCGAATATTACAAGGCCGATCGTCTGTGTCAAACCCAACTCTACCAGGAGTTGGGTTTGTATACGAGACTTTGTCTATATCCAGCAACGTAACCAAGCCGTTGGGTTTGTGCGAAAAGCCTGGTTTGGTTGAGACGCTGGTGGTGTTGGTTGGAGATGGGCTGTTCCCACGTGACACGGACTTCTGCTGAGACACCTCTGGGGGGGGTACAGAGGTCGGTGGCTGAGGTTGAGGCTGGCTCTGTAGGATGTTTTTTAGTTCTTCCTTGTCATCCAAAGTTTTAAGTTCTAGCTTGTCAAAAGGGTCCTCTTCTCGCTCAAAGTCAGCTAAGTTGAGGTTATGTGGGTGCGGACTGTTGAGCTGGGCTTTTCTGGGGCCAAGGCTAGGGGCAGGCAGTGGAGTTAGGATGGCATTGTGGCTCAGCCCTGCTAGAATAGCGTTTAATGCTGGTGGCAGAACGTCCTGCTCGTCTGCAACGGACCGAGGGTTTAGCCCACCACCGCCATCAATGTCCTGGGCTTGGGCCGCAGACTCCATGCTCTTTGCTTTCTGTTTGGAGGCTGCCTCTTCACCTCTGGCCATTGCTGGTCTGGCCTCTGCAAGCTCAACCCCCCAGCGAACGCTACGTCTCTCCAGAGTAAAGTCATACTGGTTAGTGTGGAACAGGGAGGGAGGGCAAAGACGGAACAGAGAGAATTATTATACTTAACAACAATGATCACTCAAAACGTCTAAAGGAAGGAGGTTAGCAGATCAAAACTCACCTCAGTTATAATTGCATAAAGTAAACTGAAACAAACTCATTTTAAGAACTATTTTGATTAACGAGAATTTTAACATTAACATTTGCACTAGTTGACTTGAAAAACACAACAACCTGTCGGACCAGTAATTGTTGTTTCATCTTCTGACAAAAACATGATTATGGGGATTGAGCCTGCATTAGGGTTGTCACGGTGTGAAAATTTAACCTCATGGTTATTGTGACCAAAATTACCACGGTTTTCGGTATTATCGCAGTATTTTTTTTTAAACGTGCTACATTTTCACACAATTAAATAAACCCTGTATGTCAGGAAATATTGTCCTCAGTTTGTGTCTAAATTTTGCCTAAAATGTGTTATTTTGTAATTATGTTGTTTATTTGTTTACATTTTTTCCTTTAGTCTTTAAAATACCAATATTTGCCCATAACTTCTTATTTTATGTCTGTTTGATGTCATCATTTAAAAATATTAGACCAGATGGTACTCAGTACTCAAGTAGCCTTCTAATCAGATACTTTTTTACCCTTACTTGAGTAATAAACCCTATATCAGGAAAATATTGTCCTCGGTTTGTGTTCCAGTGAGCTTTGCAGATGTGGGAAAATGTCATCAGGCAGTAATCATTGTTAAATTCATAATTATTCTCAGAAAGAGACCAACTCTTATCTGCCCCTGGGAGCCCCGTAATGCATGGCGTCATTTCAACATGGGGGTGTCCGTGACACGGTTTATATGCAGGTAGCGGCGCTGCGGCTGCTTTATATAGCGACTCGTTGCATTCTCCCTCAACCCAAATCCTCGGATCACACATTTTAGCTAAAACGCTAACGTTAGCTTGCCTTGCGTTGACTGTAGAGCCGTGGGTGATGGTCACGCAGATGTGTCATGAGATTTGAAGCGTTGCTGCCTTTCACAGACACTTTTTCTGCACGTGCTGCAAACAGGATAGCCGTCTTCTATCAGCTGTCCCTCGGCATTCTTCAAATAGCCAAAAGATGCCCGTACTTCCCACTTTATCTTCTTTGAGGGATAAAAAAATGTCCTGAGTGCCGCCGTCTCCTCCTTTGGCCATTATTTCAGCTTTAGCTTCAAGAAAGTTTTGGTTGTAAACAACAAAGCGCACATGTGCCGCCGGCAACTTCAGCAGATGATACGGTGGCTGGTAAGGGTCACCGCGCCTACACCGCAGCCACGGTAACCACCGAGATAATATAGTTTTTTTAAAAACAAGACGGTTATTATTATTGTCAACTTTTTTACCGGGGTTTACCACTACACCAGTTACCGTGACAACCCTAGTCTGCATTAGGGATGCACCGATGGATAGCACCCCTATCGGTTTTGATCGGAGTTTTCAAAATAGATCAAAGCAGACCGATCAGGTAGGATTGTCACAGTAACCAGTGTAGCGGTAAATCCCGGTAAAAAAAAAGTTGACAATAACAATAACCGTCTTGTTTTTAAAAAAAAACTATATTATCTTGGTGAATTTACCGTGGCTGCGGTGTAGGCGCGGTGACCCTTACCAGCCACCGTATCATCTGCTGAAGTTGCTGGCGGCACATGCGCACTTTTTTGTTTACAACCAAAACTTTCTTGAAGCTAAAGCTGAAATAATGGCCAAAGGAGGAGACGGCAGCGCTCAGGACATTTTTTATCCCTCAAAGAAGACAAAGTGGGAAGTACGGGCATATTTTAGATATTTGAAGAATGCCGAGGGAGTTTATAGAAGACGGCTATCCTGTTTGCAGCATGTGCAGAAAAAGTGTCTGTGAAAGGCAGCAATGCTTCAAATCTCATGACACATCTGCGTGACCATCACCCACAACTCTACAGTCAACGCAAGGCAACGTTAGCGTTTTAGCTAAAATGCGTGATCCGAGGATTTGGGTTGAGGGAGAATGCAACGAGTCGCTATATAAAGCAGCCGCAGTGCCGCTACCTGTATATAAACCGTGTCACGGACACCCCCATGTTGAAATGACGCCATGCATTACGGGGCTCCCAGGGGCAGATAAGAGTTGGTCTCTCTCCGAGAATAATTATGAATTTAACAATGATTACTGCCTGATGACATTTTCCCACATCTGCAAAGCTCACTGGAACACAAACCGAGGACAATATTTTCCTGATATAGGGTTTATTACTCAAGTAAGGGTAAACAAGTATCTGATTAGAAGGCTACTTGAGTACTAAGTATCATCTGATCTAATATTTTTAAAATGGTGACATCAGACATAAAATAAGAAGTTACAGGCAAATATTGTTATTTTAAAGACTAAAGGGGAAAAATGTAAACAAATAAACAACATAATTACAAAATAACACATTTTAGGCAAAATTTAGACACAAACTGAGGACAATATTTCCTGACATACAGGGTTTATTTAATTGTGTGAAAATGTAGCACGTTTAAAAAAAATACCGCGATAATACCGAAAACCGTGGTAATTCTGGTCACAATAACCGTGAGGTTAAATTTTCACACCGTGACAACCCTAATACAGACCATTTTAGATTAGGTTACATTTCCTTTATTCCCAGATTTTGTAGTTTGTAGCACTCATTATAATGTTGTAGAAAATTTCTGGCGTATCCACGTTATCGGTATCGGTGATCAGCATTCTTTGATATCGGTATCGGCAGCAAAAACCCTGATCGGTGCATCCCTAGTCTGCATATAGGAGGATCATTTGTGATGTCAACTTTTATGCTTTCATATGGCAAGAAACAGCGTACTTTGCCTATAACTGAACTGTTTTGCAGGAAGAAGATTTAATGATGGATCATCCCTGCTGTGAGGTTGATTGTTCGGCCCACGGAAGGCTAGAAAAAATGTTTTATTGGACTTTCCTCTGTAAGGGACTGCAAAATACAAAAGAGATGGTTGCGGGCGACTCAGACTCTCTGAGGAAAGTCTGTATTCCTGCAGCAAGGGACAGTTTATGAGGCTCATTTTGCTCATGGTAAGTCTTTGTGACTGTTAATCAGAGAAGACTTTTTTAAAAACTCATCTTTGTGTATTTTTAAATCCACTGAGTTGGATTGCTTTCTCATTCTGATTTAGTGTCTCAACCCACAATCATTATAATAATAATAAAATAAATAAGGACACTGATTAATGAAGATTTACCCTGGTTTGTAGTCGCAGTGAAGATTTATTCATTTTCTCTGGCCATCACCCACAGGTAATGTAAACAACACCGTGGCTACACTCATGGGAGGGTGACTCCTACTTTTAGCATGACCACAGATTTATGTTTTCAGAAGAGATCGGTCAAACTTACCTCTAAACTAAACAATCGTAGGCCTCAAGACATTTAAAAGTGTTTCATTTTTCATGAGCGAAGAGTCCAGGGCTTTCTGTTAAATAGGAATAAATGTCTCCCCAGCAGATTTGTGAAAAAAGCACTGGCGAATCGGACCAGCATTTACGGTCATCCCAGAGCTCATACAGGCTTTTAATAACTTTAATTTTGTCTTCAATACAGATTTTAACCTTCTCTGTAAACCTTCTGTTTTTAGACTTTAAAGTGTTTATGAAAGTGTACGTCGCGTTTTGATAGCGGGCCACATTGTGTTTGTTTTTGCCACCCAACCACTCACGCATGCCCACAAAGTTAAAAAAATATGTCAACAGAGATCCTCCTGTAGATCAAACTCATCATCCACAACAATACAAGAGCCTCGGTACACAACTTTTTGTAGAACAGTAACAGTTTTAAATAGTGGAACGCAACATTTGTAAATGGAATTAGTGTGTGACATGTTCTACAACACGTCAGTGGAAATGTGTGTTTATCTGCGCCACATATTTGATGATTTTCAAATCCTAGCATTTCACAATCTATTTTTTTATCAGAAGCTAATGCAGGAAATAGGTATAAAAGATCGTTTTCGATCTCACCTGTGCATCTGTGAGTAAAGCGCCACAGTCTGGCACACAGAAACCAACGGGTAACCCCACTTTGGCCGGGCAGCGAAATTTATCATTTATCTTGAAGGGAACGTCTTCAAGGTAGCTGATGGGTCCTGTGTGCAGAAGAAGCAAAGTGAATCTGAATTAGAACAATCACCAGCGTATACAGACATGCTATTGCTTTTAAACCCAAAACATGACTTTGACAATAAAAAAAATGTATATATATATTTTTTTTTTTTAAAAAAAGCTCTTGCCATTGTTGAATGCATCTATTCCAGACTTCCTCGCAGCCATTTATTCTCTGCAAAAAAGAAGAGAGACATGATTTCCTTCACTAAAAAAGAAATAAAGCTGTTATGAACAAGTCTTGGATCTCTACATCCTAAAAATAAAGATTATCCAGGAAAAAAATGCAGCAACAATATTTTGTTTGTCAAATTAAATTAAAGGTCCGGTTTGCATTACATGTAAATGACGATCCCAAGTGACGGTTATAGGCAAAGCAATGACGAGGAGAAAACCTTTTTAGCAGACTAGATTGCTCAGTTGTTCTGTTTAGCACAGGACTTTGATCTCTCTCTTTAGATGAAATGATTCACTTTACACAGCTGATTTGCTGGAGAAAACCTTTTAAAATTAATAAATACATTTAAAAAGGCACCAAGTACCCAGTTCTGTTTGTATGCACTTTACTTGTCAGAGAAAATAAGCAAGCTACCTCAGAGCTCTTAGCATCCTTTCAATCGTAAGAGCCAATTTACAAAAAATACTAGTCATTAATATTTGTTTAGATATTTGAAATGAAAAAAAAAAAATCTGATTTTGCTAAAATAAATAAAAGCTGCTCCCTCCAAATATTTCTTAATAGGGACAGCAGTAGCTCAGGAGGTAGAGTGGGTTGTCCAATAGGAAGATTGCAGGTTTGATCCTGGCTCACACCAGAGAATGTTGCTGTCGTGTCCTTGGGCAAAACACTTAACCCACCTTGTCAGGTGGTGCTGGTCGGAGGTACCAGTGGTGCCTGTGTATGGCAGGCCTTGCCTCTGTCAGTGCAGCTGGGGCTACATTGTAGCTCATTCCCACCAGCGTGTGAATGTGTGAATAACTATGAAAAATATGGGCCACTTACTGTTAAACATGGAAAACTAATTTTTTTATGACTATTAAAAACAACACAACAGTCTGCATTCTGAGAAAAAGCCATTCAAGCACGCTACATTTTAACCCCTTAAAATTCCAGGTCCCATGAACGCTCTTTGTGTTGTCCCTCGGGCAGGTACACTGGAATGCTAAGAGGTCATGATTTTTAATAATTTTCCAGTGGTCTCTAGTAGGAATGAATGCCTTGTATGGATGAAAAGGTTAGCCAGAGGAAAAAGTAGATTCAGATGACAGGATTTGAAGTCTTATTTCCTGATATTTGGAGCAAATACAACACAATTCTACCACTGACCATGTTTATTCTGAAATGTTGAAGTTTTACCTCCACAAACAACACAAGCCTGGAGGAGTTCTGCCGTGTGGTGGGGTGGCTAATGGTTAGCTTAAAATTGTTCTAGAAAAACATCTCAGACTGTGCCTTTAAAATTATAACATCATCCTAGACAGACTTATTTCAGATAAATTGTACTTGTGGATACTTGTGACTGAAAGCCTAATACACATGAAAGGAAAAATTTATGTAACTTGTCCAAGGAGGAAAAACAACTGAGAAATGCAGGATTTGTGGATATCCACAAAAATATTTCTATTCCATTAAAGGAGTCGATTACTCATTTACTCAATACATTTGCAGTGTTCTCTAGTGTAAATAAATGCCTTAGGAGTCATTAAAAAAAGCTATGATGCTCCTGTTCTGAGATGCAGAAGTTAGCTTGTGCAGAGGTGGGCTGACAACAGCAGGACTGCTCATCATTATTAATGATATGCACACAGCTAGCTTCTGATTGGGTAACAGAATGTTTTTTGTTTGTGTGTTTAAAAAAAAGCCTTCTCGTGGGCAGGCACAAGCCAAGATGGGCAAGGCCATGAATGCAAATTCAGTGTGGCATAGATATTTGATGATTTTCAAATCCTAGCATTTCAAAATCTATTTTTTTTAGAAGCTAACGCAGGAAATAGGTGTAAAAGATCGTTTTCATGTTCACCCTGCGTGGGTTTCCTCCGGGTACTCCGGTTTCCCCCACAGATCACAACATGCCCTATAGGTTATAAATTGTAAGTCGCTTTGGATAAAAGCGTCTCCTAAATGAATAAACATAAACATGAAAAACTGTGTGTGTGTGTGTGTGTGTGTGAACGGTCAACCATACCACTTGCTCCTTAAATCGATCCACCATGGAGCACACATGACCAGTACAGGAGACATCTTGTGATCTATCGAATTTCCTTTCTGTCCTCATGCTTAAAGTCCAACTTTTTCCACTCTAGTTAGTCTTAATTGTAGTTAACATTTTAACCCTGTCTAGCATAAGCTGTCGGTACAGGTAGTTAACGGGTGTGCGTGTGTGTTTTTACAGTAAGAGTCATGTTCATTCTGAATGTGTTCACAACAGCATCAAGTCCAGACTTGGGTATATGGTGACTAAACTGCGTGTGTACCATGGTGTGTACACACGGAATTATGTCAGTTTCCCGTTATTAAAATAGAAAACATGATCTTTGTGAGAGTTGATAATTTAAACCCATTCGGCGTCGGTTCCGTTAAAGGAAAGCTTTCAAGTTATTTAAATTCAGCTAAATTAGCGATAGCATTAGCCAAAAGCTCATCGCATTACATGCTAACAGCTAACAAAATAAGGAAGTTAAGGTGGTCAACGTGGTTTGGCTTTGTTGGCATTAAGAATAGATAAAGACCAACTAAGCAATCCAATGACAATCATGATTGGACATTAAATAATGTTCTTCGAGGAAAGCAAGAATCTATGCTACTACGCCTAGCTTCTACTGTGGCCTCGCTCTAACGTTAACTCTGATGCCACCGCCCCTCACAAAAACAGCTCTCACACAAACAAATGTGCATCTCACCGGTATCTGCTCCGTCTTGTTTTCACAAAATCCCAACGATACCTTATCACGCTGGTACTACAGTAAAAACTGGTCTCAGAATCAGTTTTATTTTAAGTGAAACCTCTTTCCTGCTTCGGCGTAGGTCGCCATCTTGGTTTGTCAGGCTGTTCCTGTTTGACGTCGCTCACCTACATGACGTATGATCATGATTCATGATACCAAAACTTAAACTGGATTTAAATGAGTACGTGTAACAAGAACAACAACAAAAACAACAATACTACTACTACTACTACTACTACTACTACTACTACTACTAATAATAATAATAATAATAATTATTATTATTATTATTATTATTGTTGTTGTTGTTGTTGTTGTTGTTGTTGTTGTTTTTGTCATAATTAAAATTCCTTGTTTTTTTATTTGGAAAGTTTCTGTTGACTTGCAATCATTAATTTGCACAGTTTTGTTTCCATTCATATTCTCACTCTCTGTAAACATTGTGCTACACTCTTACACCGTATTTTCAAGTGTGGGAAATTCAGTTAAGTCTTTTTTACATACATACTTTTCCATTCATTGTACAGCCTTTTATGCGTTATGCTTGACTATTTGCTACTGTGAATCTGCTTTGCTGGTGCTGCAGTAAAAATTCCCCATTAAGAGACTATAAAGGGCCTTTTCCATATTCTATTCTATTCTATTCTATTGTTAATATTTATAGGAACAAAAATAATAATAAGAAACTTTTAATATAAGATTCAAGGAAGATAATATTCCAACATTAACCAAAAAATGAATGGGTTAAATGATTAATTGCCCAAAATCAAAATTCATTGATTCCCATTAAAATTTAGACATTTCCTCTAAAACAAATTCGGGTAATAATTACAAAATCCTTGTCAAAAAATTGCATCTTTTATGAGAAAAATACACTTTGTTCGTATTATGATGAGGAGAAATTACAATTTTATTAAGATATTATAAAATAATACAATTAATGCTGAAACTGTCCATGAAAGTAAAGTGCTTGAATCCTGGATTTCATTACCAAAACCAATGCCTAAATTAATTAAACTGTCACAAAAGCCATATATTTATATAGTACTATTTTGTCTTAGAATTGAACATTTATTTTATGTTTTATTATATTCAAGTAGTTAGTAGGATCAAAATGTACTGTTGTTTATGATGAGTTGTTTAATATTTTTTAACATACAAATAAAATCTTAATATTTACAAATTGTTGTTTTCAGAGTGGAGTGCGCGCACGTCACGTTCAGAGCCGTGAACGCGCTCCACGTTCCGCAGACACGCGCAATGATAGCCGGAAGCATCGATGGGAGGAAAATAAAAATCGATTAAATCCACTGTAATTCGCGAGTATAAACCTCTCACTTACTGTTCTGTTTTTTTCTGCGACCGCAGGCTCGAACTGCTCCGTTTTTACGCCGCTGCTGCGCTGGAGGGGACGGCGGGGGGCTGAAAATCTGCCCCATTTGAAGCAAGTTGCTCGGTGGGGGTTTAGCTGACGTTTGGAGAAGTTGAGACTGTTGGAGAGCTGATAAACAAACATAAACAAGCAGGGATCAGCTGTGCGGCTGTCCGAACCGAACCAGTAGCTCGCAGAGATGGCAGGGACAGCGAAATTCCTCTTCGGAGCCCGAGAATGAGCTACAGGAGACCGTGACAAACACTGATACTTGCTCCATGTCAACTGTCAACACTGGCACACAAAGAATTTTGGAAACAAGAGGAGCAGCCGTAGCTTTAAGAGAAACCCCTCTCTTTTCCCGTCTCAGTAGCTGACACAATAGCAAATGAATTTACCTTCCAGGTTTCGGCTGTAACTGAACGAGCACACACCACAGTTCAAGGAAACGGAGGTAAACAGCTTTCATTAACTTTGCTTTTACCCCTTTAAGGGCCTCCGAACTGAACGCTGCTTGGCAGGCCACGGAGGGTGTGTTTGTTTTGAAATTCTTGATGCGACTCCCCCCCCCCCCCCCTCCCCCGAGAGAACAAATATAAACAAGCTGCATGTTGATCGTTGGGTCAGTGTCTGATCAGTAATTAAAAAAGAAAATTATGAAATAAGTGTTTGATTGTAACATGACACTCTTGAGACTTGGGTCTTCTCTCCAGTTACACAGATCTGTGGCCCCTGGTGTCCCAAGTGGAGGTAACATGGCCCACCAGGCAACCCCCAGTTCCCAGAAGGCCCTGATGATGGAGCTGAAGTCTCTGCAGGAGCAGCCGGTGGAGGGCTTCCGCATCACCCTGGTAGAAGAGTCTGACCTCTACAACTGGGAAGTGGCCATCTTCGGTCCCCCAAACACTCTGTATGAAGGAGGCTACTTCAAGGTGGGACAGACTCATTCCTCTGTGTATTTGATAGGGATGGAAGAAGATGACAATACACTGAAGTATCACAATATTTTGTGTTATGAAACTGAATCGATTTTTAAAACCAGCGTGTGGATTTTTCTTATTGAGAATTTACATTTAATGTACAGTGGTCCCTCTGTAATCGCTGGAGTTACGTTCTAAAAATAACCGTCAATAGTAAAATTCCACAAAGTTATGTCGGCTTCATTTTTTTTACAGTTATTATAGATGTTTGTAGCGTACGCGGCTACTATTGGGGTCACACACACATGAAAACACAACAGAATGTACATTTCTCAACAGTTTCATTTCCAGCATGTGTGCATGAGTGAATAGTTTTATTTGCATACACTCACTCCAATTGTTCAGTCTCATCACGTTGTAGACTCATATCTCCTCCTTCTTCCTAAGGACGCAGGAGCGCTGATTACTAATGAGCTCCCACTGACATAGCTGCTCTCCTCAGGCAAAATCAACTTCAGAAAGTTTTTATTTCAAATGTTGAATATTCTGAAATCTAATCAAAACAACCATTTTAACACAATAGGACCCAACGACTCATTGGGCGGGGGGGGGGGGGGGGGGGGGGTATTCATAGGTAGTCGCAGCCCTATAAGCAACAACAGACAACTACAGTTTATAAGCTTGACTCTCCTAGATTTTAGTCAGAATTGACAAAGCTCCTCGGATGAGAAGCGAAATGTCTTCAAGAAACCAAACAAGTCCAGTTGGCCTTTTGGAACACCATGACCTTACCTGGCTGACTGAGAACCTTCACCAGCATTCTGAAAGAAAATCCTGTTGGAGGTTTACTGACACCACTGACACTACTTTGATTTTTCAAGTTGCTTTTGGACTTCTGAAACTTGTGTATACTGTCTAATTTAATGTATATCTAAAGGAATGTGTGTGTGTGTGTGTGTGTGTGTGTGTGTGGGGGGGGGGGTAGGAGCGTTCAATAAGAAGACTATGGAATGATGATAGTCTTACCTGACTGACTGCAGTTAATTTGAAGCTGGCATGAACACGCCCAAGCCTCCACATCTTTCAGCTACATAAATACTCAATACTATTACAAAAAACAATGTACTGAATAGGGATGCACCGATACCTCTTTTTTCCAAACTGATACAATACCGATACTTGGATCTGAGTACTCGCCGATGCCGATTATCGATACCGATACTTCCACCACACAAAAAAAATGCAATGATTTGGAATACAGATTTTATTTTCTTCTCTGCTTTCAACAGGAAAAGACTGTGAGGTAGATAAAAAGTAAAATATATGAATGGAAATCATCACAAAACTAAAATATTAGGTGAACAGAAATGACAAGTTACAGTGAAGCCATTTTCAAGCAACTGCATTGATATCGGTTCCTGGTATCAGTTAACTTTTACCGTTACTGGTATCGGTATTGGTATCGGCACCGGTGCCGATACCAGCATCGGTATCGGTGCATCCCTAGTACTGAATAACACGTACGTAGTACTTAAAAATGTGTCGGTAATGACACGTTTTCAGCTTCTAATCAGATGACTGAATATTTGACAGGACCTTTGTTGTCATTTTTAGATGAAGTGTAGGAAAGTTCAAATGTCTGATTGCACTTTAGCAGCAAATTGTGGTGAGATCAGAGAAAGCAGTCGAACGGTAGCCTGTTGCACTGAAAAAGTGAGCAGAATTTGTAGGCTCACTTCAGTTAGATTATACTGTAAGATTTTGTTAAAATGGGAAAAATTCATTTAAACAGTTTGTTTCTGTCTGCTCAGTCAGAGAAGTTTTAGTGTTTGTTCTTTCCATCAGGCACAAATTGAGGTCCCAACAAAGGCTGGAAGAGCTCAGAGCCTATTAAACCCTGACTGTCTCTGTTTATTCTTCCAGGCTCACATCAAGTTCCCGGTCGACTACCCATACTGCCCTCCTACTTTTCGCTTCCTCACCAAGATGTGGCACCCAAACATCTATGAGGTAAAAGGTTTTTGTTTTCCATAACTAATGCATTTTGTGGACCTCATATTAAAGGAAATAAAATATGATCTAACAGCATCATTTATTGGTTTTGATCTTATTCCCTGTTGCACAGAACTTGTTGCATATTTAAAGTCTTTTGTAGAGGAGAGCTTGATGGCTAAAACCATTTATTGGAACATTTTTTCTTATTCGGGGTGTTTAGAGATTTGTTTGAGGGATTGAGACTGGGTCTCAGAAGAGGTTTAAGATTAATACGTTTTTTTAAAGAATCATTTTGATTATTAAAGTATTCTCTAGAAGATGAGTTATTATTTTAAATTAAGCTATCTTGTAGTAGGACCACTGCACTGGAGGTGCTGGTAGCTTATTTTTGTGGTTCTGATTTTGTGACACTCTTCTTTGTCCTAACAGAAAATATGGACTCCACTTAAACTCATACGTTAAAAAGCTTTATTGTGTAAATTGGAGTTCTTGATAAAGCTGTTGGAGCAAGAACGCAATCCAAAGGCCCAAATCCTTTTTTCAAGCTCCCTCCTCCTAGTAAGTAGATAAGTTATTTATAGAGCGTCTTTCAGATGTAGATGCATCACAAAGCACCGTAAAACACAGGTAAAATCAGGACAATACATTTTAAACATTTGAAAATCAGAAAAATAGGAGGGACAAACGCTTACGTAAAATCAAAAGTAGCAGCACATTTAATGAGGTAGGTAGGTTAAAACCTCTACTGAGTCGTAAAAACAGAGCAAATTGTTCCACAGCCTGGGAGCTGTGCCCCCAGAATATGGGAATACACAATACTTGTTCATTAAAGTTCATTTTAATTATTTTAAGTTGTTGTTCGCACCTTTTCTGCCATAATTCCTAATGTGACGCACCTACATAACTGTATAACAATTTGGCATTCTAGCTAGTACGATGTTGCACTTTTTATGGTGAAAATCAAGACAGTTTATCCTGTATCCGTTTATTCCTCAATTGCAGCAGCTCAGCACCACCAACCATCTGGAAAAAGTCCGCAAACAACAGCTAAATACTAAATAATCCTTAACCTCCAGATCCAATCATTAGGAATGGTTTGGATCAGGTTTTTCCAGGGTTGTATGCTTCAGAGGTGATTAAAATGTTCCTTTTTTGGAAAAACATTAAAAGATGTGGTTCACTCATTTAATCAATAGATTTGCAGTGGTCTCTGGCAGGAATGAATGCCTTTTAAGTTGTACTCTGAGGAGAAAAAGCACCGGTGCACCTATTTCAGGAACTAGAATTGAGCCACATCAGAGCTGAGCTTCAGACGGCAGGATTTGAAGTCTTATTTCCCGATATTTGGACATCTTGCTCAGGGATGGGTACTGAATTTGGTACTTTTTAAGGCACCGACCAAATTCCATAGTACCGACTGAGCACTGATTCACTTCATATTAAACGGTGCCTTAGTTCTGTACCCGTGCAGCGCACCAACGCAAGAGCATAATGTCGTCAGTCACTGTTGTGCGAGCTGTAAACAAAGCAGCATGGCAGAGAGGAAGCGTTCTGAAGTTTGGGTCCACTTCACTAAATGGGATGGGTGACTGGGTGATGATGAAACCAGCAACAACGATCTAAGTAAGGCATTGTCATCTTAATCTGTTCCAGTAGGTTAATAAAATGTTTAAGATAACGTTAGCTTAATATGTTAGCTTCCGTTCAGCGTTTGTTTCTCCTCGGAAATTCCAACTTCTGAGTAGGAAAAATAAACAGTTTGAACGGCAAAAGGAATAAAGATACCCAGTAAATTTAGTTGACAACAAAGATGTTTGGTTCAGTGTAATTTGCAGTTTGTAAAACTACAAAGATCCACCATCACACAGTTTGTCCAGAGGGAAAAGGAGAGGAATAGGAGTACATGGAGCTGGGCTTAGTTTGTGAAACACCACAACATTAAAATACAAGCTGTTTTATGGTATCAAAGTTTTCTTTAGTTTCATTTGTAGTTTATAATTCATGGTCTCCTCATCAGAGTTATTCCAGAGGGCATAGAAGAGGAATAAGAGTCCATGGGGCTGGGTTTGTATTTGCATCATTTAGAAACAGTCATTAAAAGTTTTCATATTGAAGAATTTTGTACAACATCACCATGCTAAAATACAAACAGTTGTATGCTATTTATCATGATATTTATCAAATATGGTTATATATTGGGAAAATAATATACATTGAACTTAAAAAGTGATTTAAATATTTATTAAACACTCAAAAGTATCAAAAATTGGTACAGTTAAGTACCGGTATCGATTCGTAAGTACCGGGAATTGGTACCATATCAATTCAAATATCAAAGCTCTTGCTTCAGATTGGCTAATAGCAACGCGACTCTACCACTTACTCTGTATGCTCTTCATTGTTGATGTTTTATCTCCACAAATAACACAAGCCTGGAGGAGTTCAGCTGTGTTGTGGAGTTGCTAATGCTAATGGCTTGCTTCTGCTAGCTGAGACGTTCTGCGCTGTTTCCTGGACACTAAACCAACAACAGCCTTCCCCGTCACAAGTCAAGATGGGGGACTCCATGAATGTTAAGTGACAGTGTGACGTAGATCTGCCAGGCTTTTCTAATCCTAGAGTTTCAGTCTGTTTTCTATCAGAAGTTAATGCAGGAGATAGGTGTAGGAGACTATTTTCATGTTCAGTCTGCATGAAAAACTCAGAGTGACTGATTATAATCAGAAATAAGATTTAAAAAATGTTTTCTTCAGTGAAACACACCTTTAATTAATTGGTTACCATCTGTATGTAGACAGCATTTCAAGCAATGTGACAAATCATGCTCCACAAAAAGAATCACCCACTCCATCTCTAAATACCTAAACTTCCTCCTGTTATATTTTCCTTCTCATGTTTCAATACAATTCTGTTCAGTATATTTATATAGTTTCCTGTAGTTTCAACATTATTTAGTTTAACGTTTCCTTAACCTTGTTGGAAAATGGCACAAGGGTTAATCCTGCAGTCTCATAAAGACTTTGTAAGGATTTGCTGTGCAGTAACACTACAGCTCAGTTGAAAACTACATACATTAAATACTAAGACCGTTACACATTTATTTGAGAAAAAAAATCATATTCTATGAAATGTCTTATTTACTGAGATTCTTAATATAAAACAATAAAGAAAAAGCAACACTGGTGGAAAAATGTCTCAATCTGCAGTCTTCAAACCCACTTTCCAGTCCTTGTGTAGAATAGACTTTATTGATCCTACAGTGGGGAAATTCACTTGTTACAGCAGCACAAACACTTAAGAGAATCATTTGATGAAGAAAAAAATAATAGTGCTATGAATCCAATGTCAAACTGTAGAAAAAGTATAAGCATTGCGTTGAAAGTTGTATCTGCAAAACACCTTAACATTCCTAAACATTGAGTTTTATGGTACCATCTAGTGGTTATGATTGGAAAATGACTGCAAGTATTCATTTTGTCAGAAGGTTTAGGAACTTGTTAAGCAGGAAGATGCTCATTTGCCCTCACAACATGCTATTGTTACGTATCCAAGGGGTCAATTTTCACCTACACATTGACCACACTAGATAACCTTGCATTTGCAGACATAAACCCACTATCTGTCTGACGTCCAAACCCAGAAAATTCTGCTCAGTGCTTGTTTGCATACAAAGAAGACATAACAAAATTGTCAAGGTCTCCTGCAAAGGTCCTGCAATCTCTACATAAAGCAAGACTTCAGCATTCCTCACTCTGAGGAAAGTCATCTGGAATTATAAATAGTACATAAATCTTTACTGGGTACACTACACTACACCATTAAGCTAGAAAATGCTTTCTCAAAGGAGACCAAGTTGTTTTATTTTCATGTTTCCCCTGTAGATACTCTTAGAATCCTGTAAAATATATGACAAGTGGGAATTTTTCAAAAGTTAGTGTTTTTTCAGATAAACTCCGAACGTGTATTTGTAAACCCAAATGCTAAAGGTGAAATCTTTAGGTTACTGTCGTAACCCCGGTTCTCTGAGTAACATGAGTGAGATGTCTCACTATGGGATACGCCACTCCGCGGATTCCTCAGAAGCACTTATCTCAATACGCCAATCCTGATTGGCCAGTGACCGTGACGTACGCGTCACCTGCTACTATAAGTAGCAAGCGTCCCGACGCACGCACCATTCAAGATAAACACCTCTTCTCGCTTCGCCCAGCAAGAAGGGTTGTCTGGTGAGACATCTCACTCATGTTACTCAGAGAACCGGGGTTACGACAGTAACCTAAAGTTCTCTTTCTTAACATTCGTTTCGATGTCTCACTATGGGATATGGAGACTCCCGTATTGCCAGACAGCTTATCCAGCGATCACCAACCTACAGGTGTATGTCTTGGCCTGCCAAAGACCCCACACTCAGAATCGTGTGAGTCATTGCAGGGACCGAAACATCAAGCTTATAGAAGCGTGCAAATGCAAGTGGAGATGCCCAACTTGCTGCAGCACAAATCTCCTGGATTGACAGCCCCCGAAAAAGGGCCCAAGAGGCAGACAGGCCCCTAGTAGAATGGGCCCTGAGCCCAACAGGTGCCTGAATGCCCTGACAGGAGTAAGCCATAGAAATAGCCTCCACAATCCAGTGGGAAAGCCGCTGCTTTGTGACGGGTTTCCCCTTACGAGGCCCACCCCATGACACAAAAAGCTGGTCCCCCCTGCGAAGGTTCTCCGTCCGATTCACATACTCCTTGAGCGCGCGAATCGGACACAGCTTGTGCCACCGCTCCTCCTCAGGAGAGGAGAAGGGTGGTGGGTAGAAAGCTGTGAGGATAATAGGAGAAAAGGAGCCCACTACCTTAGGCACAAAGGCAGGGTTGGGCTTCAAGGACACCTTCATGTCACCTGGTGCAAACTGGGTGCAGGATGGGTGCACAGAGAGAGCCTGTAAGTCACTAACTCGCTTTGCAGATACCAAAGCCAGGAGTAGCACCACCTTAAGAGACAGGATCTTAAGGTCCAGGCTGTCC